TTATTAGCAGTCAAGAACTTACAAGATCATTAATAGAAAAGTAACAACAATAATGTAAAAAAAGGTGTTATGTTAGTTTCAACCAAATTTCAACCTAAAATTACATTAATCAATGTGGATTCGAAGCGAAAACGAAACGAGTAAAATAACATAAATTTTCATGTCCTTTCAACTTAACGTAAAGGAGAGAGAGAAAAAAGCAGCTGAAATGCAGGCCAGATTGTTAGTTACCTGTTTAAGCTTATATGGCAACCATGCCGACGAAAAATTGTTTTCTTTATTTACTTTGTTTTCGATTCATTATCTTCATGTTTATATTTCTAGCTCGTATCATGCGGTTTTTTGTTGGATGTTTTGAGAGCATGTACTATGTGCGTATGAAATAAATAAATAAATCTAACTCATTCGAGACTCTGAGGATCTTGCAATGAAGGAATACTGTTCAGCTGCCACTTTAGTAAAATTCTATAAGGAATTCGGAACTTTTGGGTCCAGATTATCTCCTCATACTATAACTCCGGTACCTACGTCCTTACCGCAATTAAAATTCTCTATAAATATTATAGATATAAAGAAATCACACCCCTCTCATATGATCATTTTTTATATACTTGAGAGCATGATCGATGTCCAAGAGGGGTCCAGCTTCCCCAGACCATAAAATGTCATCAAACTAGCCCCTTGGTACAAATTATCCATTAGTTCACTCTCGCTAAAACACACATTGACGATGTGGTTGGCCAGCAAAGTGCAACGAGCGACTTTTACAGCCAACGAATCACTTATTCTTTTGCTGCTTTGTTCTTCGGAATTCTCAATTTTCGCAGAGTGAGAGAAGTACAGTCGACCCGAGAGTAGCTCTAAACGTCGTCATTGAGAGTTGAATAGGATAGATTAGCGTGTAAGGATGTCTTACTTTGGTGCTTACGTTGAACTTCAATTAGCTTGTCTTCAAAACTCAACTATAAGTACATCTATTCATGTTAGAACTACTCAAATAACACTTAGGAGGATGTTATACTATGTTTTTTCTTTTGAAAATTGCATGAAACACACTTTCGAAATATCCTGTTTTGATGTTGGAGAGCGACAATCGGCCGATTAATTCAGGGAAAATGAAAGAAATAAACAAAAATTGAAGTTCAGTTCAAACATGCAAATAACCTTATTGTTGCTTAAAAAATCCAAGACTACTTCACCGTACCAAATTTGTTGGCAAAAAGCCAACTCGTCGGCTTGCTTTGCTTTACTAAGACAAAAAAATACGCCTGGTTTAAGTTATCACCTCTTTTGCTTATAAGAAAAGGATACCAACATTAGTCGGCCATTAAAGATGGGATGTCTTTCATTAAACACGCCTTTGAACGCTGATTCCAAATCTGCTTTCCTTTTTTGCGGAGTGGGTTTTCGAAAGAACTTATGAGCGTTTGAATGTTCAAATTTGCCAAGCATTGAGTGGCTTAAAATCAACGAAAAGCTCTAAAACAATACCTATGCTATTTCCACCGGCTTTTTTCCTTCCTTGCAAACAATATGCTCGATACAAGACTGATTTTCCACTTTCCCATGTTGTTTTACAGCGCCAAGTTCGCCAAGTCTAGACCACTTAAACCTTGACAAATTTGGACATTCAAACGCTCATAACTTCTTTCGAAAACTTGTTCCGCAAAAAAGGAAAATAGATTTGGAATCAGCGTTTGAAGGTAGGTCTACTGATATACATCTCATCTTCAATCTCCAACTAATGTTGGCATCCTGCCCTTGTTAGCAGTTCTCTACATAGGCCCACTGAAATTTTGCTACCGTTATCAACAATGACCACTGTATAACGATGGCATCAAAAGAGATTTTACCTTGAGTACTGCATAACTGCAGTTAAAAAGGATCCTTGAAAATTTTACATTCGGCAATCCGTTTGTCTTTTTTCTTGTTGTGATTCTAATACGCACTACTTGGTGCCATACAATTTGAGATCGAAAAAATTTAGAAAAAACAAAAACAAATATGCATTTCTGGATGGAGCAGCAGTGATATAGAGACTTGTTGCTAAGAGTGAATGTCTCGTTTTTTTCCGCTCAGCTAGTCTTCTAATAGTTGAAAAAATTTTTTTCGAAAAATTGAGCATACTTTGAAAATCTCCACATTTTGCGTTTTTTGAATGGGTTTGCTAAGCAAACCTAATGTGAAAGCCCTTATTATCATGATTTGTAGGAACAAAGCACTGGACAGTCATTAATTATTACAATACTGTCTTCTTGTTTAAGACCATTTAATTTTGCTTTCTTTTTATTCCTTAAATTCTGCTCGACATAGACCAGCTCTTCTATCATCTTTATCATTAGAAAGAAAATCAAAAAAATAATGTTAAAAGTAGATAAAATACAGCAACACGTACATATCGACTAAGCATTAAAGGAATGCGAAAACCGAGAGCTGGAGAACAACATAACGAGATTTTGCATGGGGCATGGAAAAGCAAAGACAGCGACAGCTTTGGAGATGATACGATTTGGGACGATATGTTTATGGCTGATAAAAATCATAAGAAACGAAAAAAAAGTAAGAAATTATCTCAGTGTATTCTGGATCTTGCACCTAAGTAACAATTGCAAGGTCAAACGATAAGATCAAGTAGATAATACTATGTTATTCTGAGTGGACAGACACTGCCCATACGACAATCGGGCCTAGGTGATCTAGCGACAGATATTACTTGGCCACCTGCCAAAGGAAATTCAGAAGGGGGCAGAGAAGAGATCCGAAACTTCAAGCGCATATAAGAATACTTCCCTAATTGCCAAAAAAATTACTACGGTAGCTAATTAGGCCCTTCGCTATGAACTTTTACCGAGAGCTGATTATCCGGTAACCCTTGGTTTTTTCATTAGTGTGGATTACTGACCCTTTGCCACAGATAAAGGTTCCGTGCACCTGCACCTCCTCATAATCCCCTGGGATCGACCAGCAGTGCTTTTTCTCAAAAAAGGTGGTATAATGTGCAAAAAGTGCACGCAGAGCTGCTGTTCCCAATAAAAAGAAAAGCTAATTCGAATTTGAGGGATAGGCCGGTTTCTGGGAAAAATTCCTATAGTAAGTAGAATTCAGACCACTAGAAGGTACGGTAGCCCTTTTGATCTACAAATCAAGCGCATTTTGATCTAAGACATTCTAGGCTACGAAACGTATAAGCGCGGATAGATGCAAAAAAGCCTGACTGAAGTCCAGGCATCTATTACTATTGCATTGCACACCATGCGCGGTATTTCACGACATGTGCGCTTATATCGGGAGCAGTTTCAGGGATTCCGATGTGTTTTCTTCCCTATCAGTAAGGGGGTAGGGATATCAACGTAAGGAATACTCCCGTTTTCGGTCAAAACGCTTCTAAAAACTGTCTTCAGAATACAGTCGTGTGGTGCAGTGTGCGTTGTGCAATCTCACATATTATGTTCCAAATGACTTAACGCACAAAATCTCTAACGCTAAATTTTTCCCCTTAAGCCCTAGATCAACTCCTGAAATACTTCCCCGGATACTCATGCTCCCCTTTCAAAGGCGCACTCTCAGCACAAGCCCCACAAAGGCAAGCGAGGCCAAAGGTTGAGGGGCAGATGGCTTGGCAGGTGGCCAGCGCTACTTTGCATACCGCGCCTATTCTTTTTTGCGCTCTGCATGCGCCCTGCAAACTCCGCCGTGGAGCGCACTTCCTGCGTTCCGGCGTTCGCCTGCGTCTCGCCATTCGCCGCACTCTCGCCGCGCTACCGCAAACTTCGCCGGCGCGCGAGTGCGGCGGTGCTCGCAATATGGTAGCATCTGCATCGGGGCCTAATTCGATTGTGTTAATAATTACGTGAGGCCGAGATTGTCGCATCTGCGCGTGCTGCCACTGCTCTGCACACTCAACTCCTAAGCGGAAAGAACTTGAAGCACACATGCGCACACATCCAAATAGGGGGCGCGAGCGAGAGAACGAACTGCGAGGGAGATACGGTAAGTGAACAATTGCACTGAATGTATACATAGAATATAGGAGGAGATCAAAGTGATGTGATCGCGGGTTTTCTGCGCTCTTATCAAACGAAATATTACACACAACACAAAAGGCAAGACGGGAGAGTGGTGGCTGATTCGCCCGCTGGTCCTAGACGAATGCACCTTTTGGCGCTTGGAGTTGAGCTAGGAAGAACTGAGCCAGCATCTGCTGGTTAAACATCGGTGGATACGGTAAGACCGGTTGTTTTGGAGGTAACATCGCTTCAGGCAGCATCAGCGGCTCGCTGGTAGCCGTCGTGGCTGCTGTTGGCAGCACAGCCGCATCAGACGAGGCAAGGCTTACCGGTAAGGTAACTGCAGCCGAGCTCACCGGAACTGCTGGAGGAGCTGGAGACGTTGCTTTGACTGGGGATATCGGCGTCTCGGCTGCTCGAGCCGCGGCTGCTGAGGCAGTCAGCTGCACGAGAGCTTCCATCATGGACCTGAGAAAAGAAATCACTAGTTTTGATGTTCTTTTACATCCTAGGCAAATTTCGCCAAAAAGGAGTGTGGGAAACGAATTCCGCCATTTTTGCGAATCTACAGACAACTGGTCCGTTGGCAATGCTGTTACACGTTGTCGTCTGAGGATCAGGACGCTTAGAAGGCCCGAAATGGAGCAGTTCGTTCCCCTTATCCTCTCCCCCACCCCTCTCAAAAAAAAACTATTGCTTACTGTGGCATTAGTGGCATATTTGGCAGATGATGTTGCTCAAAACTACGTAAAGTGAGATCCAGTGGTGATTCTTCTGAACCATGATGAGGGCTTCGGATGCGTGGTGGAGGCGGAGCCTGAAAATTCTTAAATCGTTTTTCTATTTTAAGTTTAATTCAGTGCTTTGTGTCCAGAGTTGCTCGTGCCAGAGCCGTTCCAGTATGGGGCCTGCACAGCATTGGCACGCGAGCAACTCTGAACGCCGCCTAAGTCCTTCAGTGCTACAAAAAACTAAAGAAGTTCTTCAGCTTACCTTGACACCTTTCCGGCTTAATTTTTGCTGATAAGCTATCGGACAACCAGACAAGCTTCTATGCGATGTACGATTACTATTCACATGTCCTTTGCCGGTACATCCCGGGGTCGTACATCGGAGTACGGTATCCTGCTGCAGTGCGAGCACTAAAAAGTACAAACTAACTCTCATAAAGCTGCTCAAATTACAGCAAGTCAATTTGATCCCTGTGTACTCTCTTAGACTTGGACATATTGGCCTAAAGCCTATACTTGCGGCATTAACAGGCCAAAAAACGCAACGACTGAAATTGTCGTTTGATGCATCGTTCGAAGCAAACAAAGACGTCGGCGCGTCATGTAATCAGTCACCACACGGCATAGCACCGAGTGTCGAGTCAATCTCGTCTCAGCACTCAATGAATGCATGTAAGTAGACAGATGACAAATCGGCACACTACCAGTACCAATTACCGTAATCTCGGGGCGTGGCTCGAACTCACTTTGAATCGTCGACTTGTCGGGACGACGTGGACAGCCGGACAGACTTCGATGGTGAGTGTAGAGACCGGTTTGATGTCCAGAACCGTCACAACCCGGGGTCGGACAGGCCAGTTTACCCTCTGCAACAGAAGACATCAGTGCTGGACGATGCATCAACGAGTCTGGGTCTAGAATTATTGATCTGTGAACGGTACTCAAAAATTACAGTAGTCTAGAATAGCAGGAGGAAGGGAGGGGTTCTGGAGACAAAATTAGCAACAAAAGCACTTTGTTTGATCGTTAGTCCTAGCAAAACAAGTTGTTTATTGACTCAATGCACTACAGTAACGAGTTGGATAATCAACATTGTTGAAGCTTTGGTTGGTACAATTTCCGCCTAAAAATACTTCATCATTTGCAAAATCCATAAATGATGATAGTGCAACAAAAAAAGAATTGATTTCTCGATTCCACATATATAAGAAATCAATGAATTCTTAAGCATTATTTTTGGAAATGTAAGTTCGTCGACAGTCGAATTTTCAGCTGTCACATCTACCAGTTGAAAATCAACAAGCAGTCAGAACACTGAGTTTCCTTTTTTGGTAGTTGACAAACATAAAAACAAAAGAATGTTTTCAGCTAGTTTCTTTGTGGAAGGAAAAACAGAAAATTTAGTTTGATTTACGCAAAGCTGTTACTCCGTCGAAGGAAGTCCAAAAAATGAAAGGTTGGGAAAAAAGCACCTAAATGGAGAGGTTCCAAGCTCATAAAGAGCCTCGATATCAAAGAGTTTTAGAATATTTCCTAATTTGAACCCAAACAGAATTCAAAGGTCTCATAACTGTTACCAGCATTATCAATTTGGTTGGCGGTAGATTTTCAAAAACTTCAATATTTTTATTGATTTGACAGGATTCGTACGGTTGAAAATTATCATGAGATATTTTTGAATCGCTTTTTTGTGCAAGGCTGAGCTGTAATGAGATCAAAAATTTTTAGGCCTTAATTTTTCCTTCAAAATTATAAAAAATCCTACCTCGACGAGCGCTCCAATTGACGCTAGGTGACGGCATCGATGGTGTCCCTATCGATGGACTGGCGGATCCAGAAGGCGGCAGTGAAGCGGATGCGGACGGAGTTTTTGGCGGCGACTGCAAACAAAGAGCCATCAGAAGCGTGTCTGTGTGTATGTGTGTGTGCGATGTGCACTGCGGGTGCATCTCATTACTGGCGCAGCGATTTTGGTTTGGTAAGGGTTACTTACCGTTGTGATCGGGTCCAAGTTCGGAGTAGGTTCTTCCTTGTTGGGGTCGGTGATGCGGCCATCGATGGACATGCAGAGAATTTCTGGCTCGACTTTAGTGGGAGAGACGAAGCTCATGTAAAAGTTCTTTTCTTGGGCCTGAAAAAAGGGATGGGGTTTCGATGTAAAAATAAGTGGCAGTTAGGCGCTTCCCTACCTCTGGCTCCTTCTCCACACCTTCGCCACCTCCTTCCACTTCCTCATCGTGACTGCCAGCCTCGCAAGCAGGTGCTGCCTCAACCAGGGCCTTGTCCGAGTTCTCGCGCTCGTCCGCTCTCTTCTCCTCGACAACTCGCACGATATCCTTGGCTAAAACGGAAACGACTTTACTTTTCGTATAGTACAGCCTAGAGATCTGGACGAAAACGACCGACACGACAGCAGTCGCAGCACAGCACACAAACACAAAGAGTCACCGCGCACATCGTTTCGTCATGCCCTATTGCTGAGGGCAAATTCGACGTCGTTCGGCCGCCGCGGCCGCGCACGCCACCACCACGACCACCAAAAGACAACATGAATATGATGGAGAGAAAAACGAGCAGCGCTCTAAAGGACGCATCGACCGACGACGACCGTGATGCGATCGTCAACGACTTTGGGACAAATGCGGAGCAGTGCAGGAAAAATGGAGCAAGCGAGAAAAGTTGTTGTATAGTTTCCTGTTCTTGAAGGTGTAGCAAAAAATACCACTGAAAACTCAGACAAAAGAACGGAAGTTCTGTTCCCTGAAAATTCAGGGACAGAACTCCAGCAGCTCTTTGTGAAAACTGCCGCGAAAGTTCCCGTTTTTACGCAGTATGACGTCAAATATCTGCGGAAGTTCCCATTTCAACACTTAAACTTCTATGATGGCCAACAAAACCCTGCGGAACCTCTGCGAATCTTTCTTGTCCTGCGCATCTACCAGTGGTTGGATTACCTTGCAAAGTTTAGGTCCTGAAGCAACTCTTTGAACAGATTGATTGGGATTCCGCCGTGGTGAATCCAATAAATTTTTTGCAAATTTCTTTTTTTTCTAATTTTTCTCTTAGAAATATGACGAAGGAACACTAGTAAAATTATGAGAACCAGTAATTGCAAAAGCGATTTCGGCATTCAAAGATTTGCGTTATTTACAGTACTCAGAAATTCTATAATATTCAATTCAAGTTCATGGTACAAGGTCAGTTGATGTACGTGTAAATATAATTATTTTACTCGAAGTTACAATTTTTGGCTTTTGACATTGTCGGATAATATGGAAACAGCTGCCACCATTCTCATGTCAACAAAAAACGGTGTTTGCAAAAACCCCCCAAATCGATTTTTTACTTGAAACTTTACGAAATTTTCCATACTCCCAGGTTAATTCAAGTATCGATAAGAACGAACGAAAGCGCTGCGAAAGGTATTGCATCCTTTAAGAAGCGATTAGACGATCGCTACATACTAATCTCAGGGTCAAGATTTGAAAGCGAACATCTGCTCCAGAGACGAGGTTGACATCAAAACGTTACTACCGAAACAGTTTTTGTGATGGGGATTTGTTTGCAGCAGATGGTCCCGTTTTGAAAAGTTGAGAAGAAAACAATTTGCTGACAACAAGAGAACTCGGCTGTGCAAAAAACAGAAATATCGCGTGCATAACATGGACCGAGCCAGATTGTCCCGATTCGCAAAACAAATAAGAATCTGGGATGCGATCAAATTATTCGCTTTTACCAATCGTGTCAGAAACCCGCAGTTTTCAGAATGAGAGAGGTAAGAAGCAAGAATTCGTTAGAAACGAACAAGGTTAGGTCGTCGCCTTGGCAGATGGCTGAGAAGAGCCAAGAGGGGGAAAAATCGAAAAACGCATAAAATTGTGCGATGAGTAACGTGCCAAAATGCGAACGGAGAGATGGATTAAGCAATTTGACGACGACGACGACGAGGCAACCGAACAACGACTGCTTGACTCGCTTTAGGGCTAATCCTATTTTTAATCGAGGAGAGGAAGCGAAAAAGAGGAGAAAGTGGAAGAGGATGACGGAGATAAGGGGAGAGCACGCGATGACACGAAAATAATCGGAAAAACTCTTACCATCAGGTTTTCTGCGTCTCTTCGCAGGTGGTGCTCCATCGCTAGGTGTAGAAACGACTGAGGAGACGTCATCAGGTGTAAGCGAACCCTCAGAATGGGTCTCGTGCTGATGATCGTTGTGTCCTTCTGGAGGACTAGCTGCTGCATTTCGTGCCGCCAATGAACTGTAGCAATTCAAAACATAGTTATTGATCACCTTTTCAGCGCCATAAAGCAAATATAGACTTTTCACAGAATGTATTCATACTCACCTAACTAATGACAATAGAAAATCCGGACCATAATGGCCATTATTTGAGAATACTCCAGCCATGTTCATAGCTGTTTGGATGGGAGCAGGGAAAATGTGAGTTCGCACTACACTAATCCTCGAAATTGGCTAATTCCACGAACTCAGAAGCGGACAACTGTAACTCAGCCGCGGTTTGGTGGGATGGCGTCGTGCGAAGTAGCAAATAAGGAGTGAGAGGGGCGTGGCCCACGGCTGGAAGTGGGCGTGGCCACTATGGAGCCGACGAAGAGCAGCTGCCACACTTCGCGAGCGAGGACGGGGGACTTGGGTAGAGGTGCCGGGGTGCGGGGGGGGAGTAGATTTTGAGATCTTGAGCTTATAGAGGGGCTTTTTCTTGACTCATGCAAAACTTTCGACACAACTTCCCACGAATGGATCAATCTCTCACTTCGCACTCTTCAGATGACTCATTTTGCGCTTTGCTACTGCGTATGAAATCTCCTCAGCTCAATAACGTTGCGAAACACAGCAAAACTTCCAAGAGAAACTTTTATTCTTGACTCGACGAAGACAAGAAAAACGCGATTTGATCAAACACAACACTGCTTTTTTTGCAAACATCAAATCACGGTTGAGTATCCACTTATTCTATTTTGGTAATTGGTGATAATCATTAACATAAGATTACGAGGAACAAATTTTTTCCCTCAAACCTGCACTTAAAGATAAACATGATAATGAAGTTAGAGAAGAACAACAACACTTCATTCTGTTACATCTTAGAGAGTTCGCCAAATAAAAAGAATAAGATAGTGACAGAAGAATGTGACAGGAAATATAGAGTTATTATCAGCAGTAACAACCAAAAACTAGTGATTTGGATCACTTTTTATCCATCCTAGATATCAAACGAGTCCAAACTAAAATCCACCAATTTCGCGGGTTTCGTCTGCCATTTGCCAAGTCCAGCGGCTTCCATCTGTAAGTAGATTGAGTTGAGTGAGTGTGGGAAGAAGGTTTTATCTATCCAGTGGCTAATTAATCGGAAAAAAAGCCTCACTTGCTCGTAGAGCACACGTTTCGCCTCATTATATGCGACAGCCTTCTGCTTTGCCTCCATGTATGTGCCACATTTCATACCATCAGCAAGTTTCAGGAAAGCCTAGAAAGAAGCTTTTACTCCCTGAGGACAACGGAGCTATCAGAATGGAGAAAAAGACTAGCTTACCTCAAAGATCGCTTTTTTGCACAATCTGGATGGAGATCCCTTGTTAGTCCTTCCAGAGTCAATATTTAACATTTCCACATGCTCCATATCTCGTGTCCATACGTGAGCAGGTGACGATGACAATATGATATTGTTCTAGAAAAGAACACTTCGACGTTGCCATACACATCATAAAAAGATCTATGCATTAGTGTGCTGGACAAACCTTAATTGATTCCACTTTACACGGATTCGTTGGTGGTTCCATTCTGCCAAACAGAGCAAACAGAAGAGATGCATCGCTAACAGGTGCTTGACTTCCGAAGAAAATGGAATGCGGCAGGATTGGGTGCATAAGCGTTGAAAGAAGCGCTCCTTGAACACCTGAAATGGTAACAATTCGAAGATTTTCTTGATTGTCGTGGAACTAACGAGCATGTCTTGTGCTTAATTTCAACCTTGACCTTTTTTCGTCAAACTTTCTGTGTTTGCACTCTTAGCGAAACAAATGATAGCAAAGCTACCGTAACTTCCATCGGCAGAACATGTGCGTTCATAAGTTAGCGGAGCGAGAGAGTCGGCGGGTACGTGAGAGAAATCGTGGGGCCAATTAGACGCCGCGCAAACTTCGCCGCACTCACTCCGACGGCCAATCGCCGCCTAGCACAAACTTCCGCAACCGTAATCTGAGTGTCTTTAAGCTGGCTGGATAACTCTTCTAATATTCTGCTCCTTCCTTGAACTTCTCAAAGTGATATATTAACCCTAAATACTTATTCTAATCCCAAATAGCAACGTAGTGTCATCTAAGCAGGCACTAATTCGACAAAACGAGGCCGCCACCGGGGAGCAATTAATTATTTACCGGTGACACTGCAATATGCGACAAGGCACATAATTCGGGGGTCGAATCATCAGCAGTGTTTGATCAAGCCGATTTCTTCGCTTACACTATGCACCTGGCCTTACATGACATGCTAACTTCTCATTTTCTTTTAAGCATCGCTAGAATGCTTACTGGCTGAGCAAAACTCCGACTCTATCACAATAACGTCTAAAAAACGGCCAACAGACTGACAAACGATATTCAAATCTACTCTCATGACTATGAGCAACTGAAGTTTAGTGCATCTGTTCAAATAATTTCGACTTTCGTATCAAGTCCGCATTTCAAACCAGCCTCTAGCTGTACTTCCTCCTCGCACTCACACGCATCATAAAGAGGTGTTCCTTTTCAAGATAAAAGCTGTGCAATAGAAGCTCTTCGCCCCGGAGCCGAAGCAAAGCCATCGGAAACGCCGCTGACGACACGACGAAACTCGAGCTGCTTAGCCATTACTCTAAGCGAGAAGAAGGCTGGCTTCTTGCCGTCGCTTAGACACACTCTCTTCGCGCCTCTTCTATTACTCTAGCGCCCACGGCAACAAAACGATGCCAAGCAGTCGGGATGGGGAGATGAGATGGGAAGGGGGAGGGGGTAATGGTGGCCGATAGAGAAGGTGGTAAATCGGTTTCAGCACATGTAATCAACACACACGAACAAATTGGACTATGACAGACGGCATCACGCAACGCGCATGTCATTCCTCAAATCTCATTCGATTTGCGAATTCAAAACATGAAGTGGTAGAAGAAAAGGGAGAAAAAAGTTGGTAATACGGTAAGCCTCCCTTCACTTGCAGAAAATGAAGCAGCAAGAAATTTGAGTACGTCTTTCTAAGGAGAAAAGTCCCCCAAATACGCCAAAAAGCCCCCAAGGATGTTTTGACTCAGTCATAGCTTTACTCCTTTTCGTTCTCGTTGTATGTGTGTATGCCGATGCAATGGACGACTTGCTAAGCCAACCTAAGCCAAACTCATTACATTCACCAACGAAACCACATAAATCACTAACGGGATGCGATGCCGCTCAACGCTGAAGACGAGGCGAAGAGTTCGATTATAAATAGCGACAGGAAGTTGCCTCTTCGTCTTCAAGAGTTTAATTAGCACACTAGATGTGTGAAGATTGATACGAGAGCGGATCATAGATGAGCTATGAGAGGGGAAAGGTTGAATGGATTACACCCGTGAGCTGAAGATACTACTGGCAGCACATTAGTCCCAAATCTTACGATGAAGTGGTTTTAAAGGCTAGACAAAAGGGAGTAAGAAGTTTCTAATTTCCAAATTTCTAATTTTTTCGTTCATTATAGTACCATTATACAGTTTTGCAAACTGACGTCCATCGCGATCCTCAGAGCAGTTACTTGCAAGTTGAAGTTAGTTCAAAATTTCAAAAAACAGTCATCGGCCAAAGTGCTCAAAAGGAGAGTGAAATTAACGCTTTTCACCTAATTACTGCCAAGTGCACTTTCGCCTAATTAGACAAAGTGAGAATTGTCCCCCCCCCCCCCTCCCTCCCCCTCCTTCCACATTCCAATCGCCCATGATCAAGAACTTCCTACAACCTGACCCAATTTGAACCTCATATTCTCTCCAGAGAATCCATAACTTTGCACACATAAACGGTAGCTCACTGGCTCCTCCTGAAGAACCCATGCTCTCAAGAGAGCTTCTGTTTGAATATTCATAGGCCAATTTCAGCGAGACGCTGCTGCTCGGCTGTTTAATAACACTTACTCGCCGCTGGTGTTTTTAATATTAGGGCCATCGGCGAGTTAACTCGAATCGAGGAAGCTCGCGCGCACACGCTCTCCCGCTCGCTGTTGTTTTTCTCGACACTCGCCAACTTTGACTACGGTAGCTGGCTGGGACTATGTGGGGCTTCTCGGGATGAGTACACATACTGCTGCTGCAGCCAAAACAACGAGACGATACTCGGATGACAACGAAGCGAATTGCGTTCAGCTGTGTATGTGTATGGAACGCGAATAATACGAATGAGTGGACTCTAAACCAAATAATACTACTCAGACACTAATAATCTAGCCAGCGCGCTACCCAAACCAACTAATCATTGACGGGGATCCGGGTAAAGCTTGGAGAAATACTGCATGGACTAAATAAAATACAAAATACTATGACCGTTTTGACTTTTGAGGCGCGTAGATAATAGTAAGAAATATGATGTCTCAAACGCTTACTTTCCTTACACCTGCATGTTCTACAAACAAGATATCAACCATTTCGTTTACAGAGACCAAAACCATTATTCGAAGCGTTTTTCTCGACCGATAAACCATAGTGCAGATAATTCTGCGCACAAACAAGAAGTCTTTGAACCATGTTTTCTTCCCAAACAATCTTAGGATTACTCTCATTCCTGAGTACAACCCCGCGACTCTCATTGACACTCACTAATGAGATTTCACATACTAAGCCCTTTGATGGGTTCAATCTGCACAAAGCAGATTCATGCCGCTTTGCAACGTATAATGATTGAGATGGGAATTAATCGCCATTCCTTCCAAACTTAGGCCACATAAATAGGGAATATTAGGACAAATCTGACGTTTTTAGGTTCTGGTCAAAATCTCGCTCAAAAAGCCGGAACTCCCAAGTTTTTTTTTTCATCTTGTTTTCTCGAAGATCTTTAGCCCATTTTCTCTACCTTAGACAACATCCAAGAAAAAGTGGGTCAGTGGGTAAAAATCTCACGACGACCACCTGCCCATGGGTAATTCACTTGGCGACTAAGACGTCCATGTCGGTACCTTTCTCAATGCTGTCTCATCGCGCACAGCTTTCACGCAGGTGATTCTATCCGGACGTCGTCGTCTCGTCCTAATTGCTAATGTTGTAATGCGAGTACACGACCGAGCAACCGCAATGTGCCAAACTCGGACGTATGCACACCTGCCCAAAGCAACGCGCGCACGCGCGCTGAGCAATCAGAGTACCGAGCACCACATCACAGCATCCCCTACCAAAACATGCGGACGAGAATACTCAAACATTGTCAGGAAAGCTGCTGCTGCTGACGTCTCCTCACTTTACAGCGACAGATGGGCCGTCAACGTCGTCCGCTACTTGCGCGACGCGCGACCTCTGAACTCGCAGCAACTACCATATGGTCAACGTCCCCCTACCGAATCATTGCAAATATCATGCATTTCTGATCGAAGATACTTGATTGATGCCCTTTGAAGGGCACAAGACAGCTTGCCTCCTGCAAAACTTTCTAACAGATGGTTTTTAGAGGACCAAGGTCATTCGTATTTGACAAGAACTCAATGAAACATCCAAATCTAATTAAAACTTCGAAGATACTCTTTGACCAAAAAATTGAAGCCTTTACAGAAGAGATCGTGGAATCATTTGTGAAGTATGCGTATTGCACATCACACATCACCAATTCACGACTTACAAGGTTGAAAACTTCTGTTTTCCTAGGATTTCCTTGTTTTTTCCCATGTTTAAATTGGACATGTATTATGTAGCAGTATACTTTCGAGTTGTTCCATTAGAAATACCTTTACCTACTAGTTACCAGTGAGGTGTCGTCAATTGCCGCGCGCAGTGCGCGGACTCACACATTTACTTGCAAATGACTCGCGCATATATTCCTCAGCAACTCAACTAATACTTCTTTCCACCTCTTCTCACCGACGTTTCTTACCTTTACCTCTTCTTCTCACCAATCCTCCCTGGCCTCCCTTTCCACCTTCCCCTCCTACCTTTCTATGCACACCAAAATTCCACACAATGCGCAAAAATATCAAACTGACATCTACTCGCGCGCGCTTGTCTCACTCCATACCCTACAATTACTAGCTCTACTAACTCGATACAGTATACATCGAGACGAGTTTCGATGAAAGGCGAACAAGAGAGAAGGACATCGCGTGATTGCCATCAACTTGCAGGCATCAATCATGTCATCGTTTGCGGTATGTTGCCTGTGAGTTATGCGGCACGCGACGACGACGACGAGCCTCGACTCCCAGTGTATCTTTGCGCCTTGCCGTACGACCGACTATGACTTGCGGCTAATCATCGCGAAACAAGCAAGGCCCTTGAGAATTAGCCAGCATTAGCACCAGCGATCGTAAAAACGACTCACTCCGACAATTTTCCTTCGATAAACTTTTCTAGGGAGAACAAGAGTGGTGAAAAACTGTAAAAGACAACGCTGTCCATAGAGTTTGAATCGAAGTATCGAGTGACGCTAGTATGGCACGATTTGACGTCGAACACCTGGCGCCATGTGCGCCGAGTGCTCTCTATCAACTAGCTTTACCACCTCACTCGACTGACCTTGTCCGCTAACGCTGCATGCGTTGCCATTAATCACACACGCAACCCACTCTACACTCGTTACCGTAGCAAAGAATGACAGTAAGCCTCAATTATGTTACCACACGATGTTTCGTCGAACAACAAAGACAAGATCAAAAGAGATTTGAAACTAACTGATTTTACGATATTCTGCTGAAGTTACGAAGCAAAACACATGCGAAAGAAAAGTGGTAGTTACTTACCAAGTTTGCTCCATTTGTAGATCTTGTCAGCTGCGCAATGAACATGCATACGTCCGGTTTGTTGGATGTCGTTGAAGCTCTGTACTTCTTCCGGAGCAGGAATCAGATGCGTTGGTCTAAAAAGAGTCTTTACATCCGAAAACAGACAGACTCAAAAGTGGCCAAATAGTTATAGACTAGTGGAGATGGCAGCGTCAATAAAATGTTGTTTTATTTTTTTTCTATTGTCGTACTATTCCCACTGACATCTGAACATTCCAAGTTCTTCAAAAGACCACCTCGCGAGCAGTTTTTTCCAGCTGTTTGAAAAGAACGATGAGGGTGATGGCCACCTGCACTGCGGCTCATTGCTTGTTTCTTATCCGCAGCGCAACTAAGTACCCCGACAGATGTTCAGAAGAAGAACTTCTGTCATGGTGCTTTCAAACTTTCGCACACTCGGACACGCGGAACAAACGGGGAGAAATAGGAGAAGGGAATTCAAGCACTTTCTTACCCGTGTTTCATATATCATATTCGGCTAAGCCTTTTCAACTTGACGCGACTGACGTTAACCGAGATCTTACTTAGTAGACTCTACTGGCCTCTTCTTGAGTAGGTTACAGAAGGACGAACTAACTCAACTCCAAACTATGTCTACTTAATTTCGGCCCATAACTTCTACCCAACAACCCATCAAGTGCAGAGCAATGAGCAGATGTGCGGTCAGGAAATACTCGGTTTCCTGTCGGAACTACCCAAAAAGCATATGAACGCGCCACAAGCCGCCCTCTTTGGATGCGATTGCATAACCTCCGCTTTGCCTTTTCCCTCTTCTTTAGACCAAACGTCAGCTGGTCAATCGAACAAACGCAGTGGACAATCAAACAATTACGACCACAAACTGCACACTGCGTGCGGGGTCGCATGTGCACTCGAGATGAGGGATCAGTTTTGTTGACTATGGGTCGGTCACATACCACTAAATTTTCTCAACGTCAGTATGAGGTCAAAATATTAACGCTTTTGTTGGCTCCTGAGAAGTAAAACGACGAAATCAGAACTCCAAGAACAACTGGTACCATTCTGAACAAAGCTTCAAAAACATACCCTATGCGTTCGGAATCATCGGTTGGTACGGGGCTTTCATCGGGTCTAAAGTAAGAAAATATGATTTGGAACTAGAAGTTATAGGCAAGACACCGGTTCGAAACTTCGTAAAGGAACCATCCATTGTGAAACTGTAACGTATTCCAGATATAACTGAACTTCCAAAAAACTACGATTGTTGCCATTCTCAGAAGTCACTCTCTTATATCTTCGTTCTATTATATACTGTACATCCGTACTGAAAAAGCGATCGCACTTCCCGCAAATTCGCTATTACACCTCGGTTGCAACGAGTAATTATGTCCGATGATTGTTCCAATGTGTAATTGCAGCATAATTCGAGGATATCATCTTGCCATCTAGAGGTCATTCACTGGAGTTCTCTGCGTGTCAAATGTTTTTTTGACTCGAGGGAAAACCAAAGGAAAAGCAAAAGCAAAAAGAACTCGACACATCTTAAGACTTAAGACATCTGTCAGGCTTAGGTTAATACGATTTCTAGACGATTCGCTTCTTGCAAAAAACACGCATTACAGATGCGAGGCTCGTGGAGACAAAAGTCAATTTACGAACGCATGTCACCATCAAGACGAGTCAAATCACAGCTTCATTTCAAACACAACGCCTTTCGATGTCGTTTAAATGCTCGTCCATTTACGGGCACCAGCCGCAGGCGGACGCGGCAGCAAGCCGTGTGCAGATGGGCGACTTCTGCGCGAAAACCGAAGTCTGTCATCGCATTTGTGGTTGAGATGTTTGCCAGCAGAAATGATCACGGGGGTGCGATTAATGCTCGAAATTGCAACCAGGCCAGAAGTCAGGGCAAGAGAATTAAGACAATTGAGCTAGAGCTTTGAAAAAAATACTGCGCTCGAATGTACATTACCAAACTAGTGCACCACATGAATCTTTTTTTTTTTCACCGAATCCGTTTCTGGATAGGTAATGATTGGCAAGATCGCAGGATTTGCTTGAAAACATGTTTAAATCTCGTCCTCAAAACTATTTGGATTCGGGAGAGATAGAAGACTCAAAAAGCTGGATATTTGGATAACAGCTGCGCAAAAAATAGGCGAACGATTCAAAACTAGCTCTAGCAAGACTCAACTGAAAAAGTTGCCAACTCCAGCGGTGCACAATCATTGCGCAATTCTGAGAGCGCATTTTCAACTTCTTTTCACCAATTTTTCTTCCTAGAAGATTTCAAAACAGCCTCTGTGAGACCTTTCCCTGCGCTTTCAGACATCATTTTATCTAGTGAGGACCCTTAACAAGCACAATTTCTTTGCATGCATTTTTGAACTAAAACTTGAGCGTAAATGAATGCCACTCGAAAAAACAGCTATTGGTGGTAACAGAATTTCTCTACACAGGACAGATTAAAGCAGATTTTCTATAATTATTTAGACTGAGTAGTGACGCACAAATGAACTCAAGATCAGGCGTCATGAACTTTTGTAAGCAGGACATTTTACTACCTACTGTACAAAGCCAACCAGCTGTTCAATAAATGAGGCAAACTCAAATATCCCAGAGAGACCGATTATTCCTCAGTTTTAATTTTAGACCGCAGATTTATCCCGTTTCAAATCCTGTAGGATGCTCTACCATCACCAGCGGCTACACAATACATTATTGCTCAACCACGTCGACGAAACTCGAAGAGACCAACGGTTACCAAAAGATGTAATTTTTGCCTTTAACGGTTTCGAGGTGGTAACCTCATTACCAGCGCATCTGGGGATGCGCTGAGAGGAAGCTTTGATGTTTTTAGCTTTTCACCGCATTTTTGCAAATCAAGAGTTCTAAACAATTACAGCTGTGAGACTTCGCAGATATGCATTGATTTAGCACCATTCTTTTTCAAGAAGATGCGTAACTTAGGAGAAATCTGTCAAATAAGCTCAGAACCGTGCAGAAACCAAACCAGTAGCAGTCTTAGAGCTTACACAATAGCAATCCATCTATCTGTCTCTTTCTCGACAAATGTTAGTACATGGAGAAATGAGTAACTCTCGGAGCGCTGCTCAGGGCAACGAGTTTGTGCGTATTACTGGCACATAAAGTATGGCGAAAAGTGGTCGCCAAGTTACTTTGACGAATCAAAAGTGTATAAAAAAGAGCCACGCACGAATGACATGCTGGCCTATAAAACTCCTAGCAGTGCCATTGAGCTTGCACGAATTTTACATACGAGGGAATGCAGAGGCTTTTCTGCTGTAGCGAACAAAAGTAAACGAGACAGATGACTTACCCTAGCACGCTCAACTTCTTCACAGATGCTTCCTTACAGCTGTACGAGCAATTTGGTGCGTAAGTTGCATAGAGCACCAATCTCAGGCCCTCATTCAGACGCAGCATGCCATCTTCACCGCGAACAAAGATGCATTTCGGGTCTCCAACTTTTCCTACTTCATTGATGAGATATCTGCAACAGAATTAATTGAAAATATAATTCTCAAAATCAAGAAAGGCATTGGGCTAACCTCAACAACGATCGCCTAGCAATCACGATGGGATCAAAGTGAATGATAGCAGTTCCACGAGCGCTTCCCACCACTTGTCCCTCTACAACTCCAGGTCGCGATGAGCCTATTGCGACCAAACGTTTCTCATCCAATTCATTCACGAGGAAAAATCTGCAATAAATAATTCATCGATAATCGAGCTTGGACTTTGACCAAATTGTCAACTGGCCTAAAAAAACGATGAAACTCACGCTGCTACTTCTGTGCTAGGCTTTACAGCATAGAAATTACACATGCTATAGTACTCCCGTTTTGCATATTCAGCAACCTAGAAACAATTTTCATTTGGAGTTTAAACAACTAATCGACGACATTTGATATTTTATCAAAATATTCCGCCCAATATGAGAAAGCAAAGAGAATTTTTAAACTGATTTGAATAAGATAAGTACGACCGTGCCAGAATTACGCAGAAGAATGCATTGCTTTCGATCGTGATGAAACTGACCTTATCTCACGCAAGGCAAAGAGGACTCAAAAAATTTCTCCTACACCAAGCAATAATTTCCCACTTTTCGTAATCATCTCCACTCTGAATTCTAACCAAAACATTCAGAGCGATCTAGCCTCAAAAACAACACGAGGAGAAGCTTGACGCTACTCACTTCGTAAATACACCTTGCCTACTGCTTGAGATAGAGCGGCAAGGCTCTAAGGACTCAAAACTACAATAATATCATCAAGCACTTACATCGAAGCACAACTGCGAGCTGCCGTTCTTTGCAGATCTTCTTGCGCGAGGAGGTGCTTCTATTACCGGCTCAGATGCGGGATCATTGTAATCAAACTGAAAACAGCTTATTCGATTGTCATACTTGAATTGCGTAAATTTGACAGTTCATACGGTGCCCTCGCGGTGCCGAAATTTCGCGGCAAAAATTGCGCGTAAAGAGATGCTACGCCTCAAATTCCGCAATTTTGTGCGTGCAAATCCCCAACAGTTCGAGAGTAGCTATTCGTTCACAGTAAATTTTACCACATCTAGGGACCGCTGGTACTACATTTACAGACAATGGACGACTGAACATAGATTGATTATGTACCATGAAGATCTTTTTCAAAGCCAACATAGCGGCGTCATTCTTAGCTGCTTTCTTCGACTTTCCGCTGCCGATGAATTCTTCCTTGTCATTTATGATCAGTTTGCTCCTAGAAGGAAATCAAATAAAGAAAACAGCAAAATCACACCGAGACTCACTTAAAAATGGTTCCCATTTGGCTCACAGTGTCGTCAGCGAGACCGAGGTCCTCATATTTGATATTTGGAGTGACCTAAACGCCAATGAGTTGTGAGAAATGTTTGAGTCAGGACATTCTCACCGATCTGTTCTGCTTGGCAAGCAATACATGCAGCTTCTGGCACGGGGGTACAGGTTGCTCCACTACAGGGGGTCTTTCAGCAGCCACAGCCGGAGGATCAATGTCAAAGTGAGACCTATAAGATTTCTGAACTTGTAAAGAAATGTTTTTTCTGATTACTTACCTCAACAACTCATGCGCAGCATATTCCTTCGCCTCGTGTTTTGAACGGCTTGGCGGCGAAGTAAACTCCACCTTCTTGTCGTCCACTGTAATATACAACAATCAACTTGTGCTAGTAATCTTGTTGTTTGACTCTCAGTTATTCTCCAGTGCAAGATTCGTCTGGACTCTTTGATTCACGCACTGGCGATATTCCCCGCAGCCGGGGGACCCTTTGCAGTGATGAAGGGGTAAGCGATATGCAACCTACGCGCACAAAATTCGGGTCCCCCAGGCAACGACGTCTTTTCCCTCGCTCGTCACTGACCATTTCATAGGAAAGTGACTGGGGATCCAATAACTATTTTCACAAAATGAAACCACGTAAGTACTGCTGAAAACCGTCCGATTGGGGTCAAGCATTTCAACTTTACAATTCCTTTCTTCTCTTGCAGCTGACGACTGCCATACCTATATTCGGGCACCAAGATAGCTCTAAACCTAAGCTTAAGTACAGGTCCTGCCACAACCAAATAGAAACGTAATCCTAATATACACTAAGTGCAGTTATTCCTCTTACATCTGTAGCGATATGCAACTTGGTTCCCTCAAAAACATGGTAGCGGATCTCCTTCAAAAATTGACAAGAAAGGGTCATAAAATGGTCAGTCACTACAAGATGCATACCTCATCAAGAGTTTGTAGCGCTGACTAGTCTGTCTCCCTTATCTGCAAAGCGCTTTTGGGAGAGGAGATACGAACGCTTATGGAGCAAAAAATAAGCGCGCTGCTCACAAAAACCAGTAGATAAATACTCTAACACTAAAATGGAGCAGTGATAATCAAGAATATATTGGATAGAGAGTGCTCGCTATATAGAGCGTCGAGAACTGTCGTTGCGTTTTAGTGCTAGAAAGTCTCTAACAACTGTCTTTAACTTGAGTGCAAGTTCATTTTTCGACTCCGAGAACGCTTAAACTTTCTTTCCAGAGGCGCTGTGCAGATAAGAAAAGCAGTTTCGAAATAAGCGTTCCGAGCTCACACTGAAGGTTTGCTACTTGTAGTGATCGACCAATTCGAATCGTGATCGTCCTAAGTCATGGACCGTTCCAGAATGCTGCTTCACCTGTCAGCTTAGTTCTACTGCTTGACCCCGACCTGACCCCACTAGTATAAAGCTGACATCATCGTGGAACCATGCTTCAACATTAGATTGCAAACTGTTAGCTCTAACGATCCCGTCACTCTCCATTGCAGCCCCATACTTCCTTTCCACCGCGGGCGTTTTCTAGCCTCCGCCCTGACATGGCAGATCGCTTGGCAGACACTAACTCCATGTCTGGGACTTCCGCTCGGGGAGGTAAGATAGTCAACAATGACAGTCAGAAGTTTGTAGTGGTCCTTAGGTGCAAAACTCTCTTTTTCTCGGTAAAACCTCTGCTATCGAATAGTTGTGTTATATGAGGGGCAAAGCATTCAGTTGCTGCAAATTTTCAAGAGTAAAGAAACAAATTATTTTCGTAAGTTACCAGCAACTAAATGTCTTCGAGGCTACGCATGAGCATCTTCCATGGCTTGAAGAACTTAAATTTTGTAAAACAAAAAAGCTTGAATTGTAAAAAAAATATCTTCCACTAGAGATTAGGGCCGCAGAAGCATGCTCATCCATAGGGTCAGATGATAAATAAGCTCAGAACTCCGATGTATACGGCCAAAGGGGAAAGGGACTAGTCTATATATTTTGATCAGAGTTCTGAGAAATGAGAGAGAGAAAAGAACGTAGGGCAAAAGGAAAAATACTGGAATGATCGGTGAGAGTGCAGACGGCGACAAATGTCGGAGCAACGTGGCCAACCGCCTTCTGGTCGGTGGCGATGTCTACCTTGAACTCGACTTCGCAGCCGCACAGATGAGCGACCTGATACAATGTCTGAAAGAAAGTTTGAAATAAACGATCAGAGGAAGACTCCTAACGAAGAAAAAGAAAGATAACCTGAATGATTGGCATGTCAGTCAGTTTGCCCATGAGATGACGACGTACAATTCGTCTGATCTCAGCCTGAGGAACATTGAAGAGATCGAGAAGAGCCTAAACCTCTAATCTGACCGATACGTTTACCAAATTTGTCTTATCATTCGTCTCCAGCATCTCGGGACTGTGAAAGTTCCAAAGCAGCAAAAATTCAATTATTCCTCTGCCTATCATTCCTCACCTCTTGTTTTACAAGACTACAGCGTGTACTGTTTGAACGGAGATCTCAGATATAAAAAATGTCTAAAAAATGTAAACTTTACCTCCCGTACAACTACATCCCTAGTAGACATCTTGCCAAAGCCTTCGTGGGTATACACTTTGCCTTGCTCAGAGAATGTAAGGGTGGCCCTGAAAAAGAATACATACGCTATGTCCAGCTGATACTAATAACGTCATGAAGCATAAGTTTTCGTCTGGGCTGGGTTCATACTTATGCGGAAGTTTCGGAACAGCTCAAGTATTTTTGAACTGTGCTGCATGCGCTGCAGCAACCCCCATGCAGTCTTGAGCGGTGGGAGCTGGACCTTTCCGACAGTTTTCAACGGTTTTTCTTTCAGATTCACTCATTTTGGTCTCATTCCGCAACTGAACTTCCATTTTGATGGAAAGTGACTTTGGAACTTTTAAAACAGCAGAAGCAGATTACAACCTATGGACTTATTTTCAAAAGGTCAGATATAACAAGTGGTCTGCGACGCCCTTCGACAACACTCCTCAGCAAAGGACTGCGATTTTCCACGCAACATTTTTATCTTGTTCCATGCAGAGGACCTTCACATCAAGGTCGAGTCAAAACAACCATCCGCTACCCAACCTCATTATCACCAAGATATGCTTAGAACAATCGAGCGACTAAACTGACCTGAACTTTCGCTTATCCCCAGTTGTAGAAGCTGATTCAGTGATGTCTGTGATATCAAAAACAGGATTGAATGGTCCCTCTGAGACCCTTTCGGCACATAGCTTCCTCATGCAATCAAGCAGTGAGAGAGCCGACTCTAATGCATTGAGCTGGAACAGAATAAGAATGATGAATGGAGTATGCAATGAGCTGCATTCATGCTAGAATATACCTTGATTTTTTTGGCAGGTGGTGGTGCATCTTCACCCTGAACAAATTTTCTTCATTGCTCAGGTTAAGCATAAAAAACAAAAAAACAAAATCACTACCTCAGGCTTCATAGCAGGCCTTGTGATAGGCTGAAGAGGAACTGTCCCTTCGGCAGTTACTGGCTGTACTGTCACACCATCCTCAAATGGAGTGATGTGCAGATCAGGGCGAAGCGTGCGCAAAGCCATCTCCGCAGTTTTCTAGATTTTTATACATTATTTACCGGACCATTTTTCATGAAGCTATAGGCTTATGATAAGGATATGCCGCTTAAATAATAATGAGCAGTGTTCTAAGGGTTCAGCCAAGCTATTCCTTTGATTCCTTTGATATCCAAGATCACTGTGACTGTAAGTTTATTCATCCCTGCAATTCTTTCGTTACGGGGTTTGCTGCTCTTGTTAGTCTCCTCCGCACTTCTAGCCAAGGATTGCTGCTTATTTAAACAAGTTTTTTTCCTTCTGCTTTGACTCTGCGCAGCCATCGCAACTAGGTGCTTCTCTTAGCCTCCTTTCCTGACATGTCCACTGGCATGGCCGATCTGGTGTAGTCTTCTTGTCTTTGCCTCAGTTTTCCTAGCATTAACAGGTCATTCTTGCATCTTCTTGACACTGCTACGACTTTTATGATGCTTCGTATGGTGTAACTCCTGTACTCCATCTATCACTCGTGTCTCAGGAACACTGAACTTTCTCTCCTGGCTTCGTGTATAAGGCCAGTATACAATCTCCGGAGCGCAGGAACTTGTACTCTAACAAGGGTGAATGACGCAGCATCAAACTCTATCATTTGATCAGCTCCAACTTAATCCTGTTGGTTGTGAATGGAAAGAAGTTTAGACGTAAAGGAACATAAGATCCCCAGGAATCATAAGAAGCAGGAATCACAGGAATTGCATGGCCGAACTCTGAATTGTCGTCAGCGACTGAACCGTGGAGTGGGGTGGAGGACATTAGGTCGCCGAATTTCGAAGAGTCCCGCGCGGATACCCAGGAACGCATGTCCGCGTATGTACAAGGGTGCGTATTTGTCGCAAATGACCGCGGGGACCGCCTTCTTTCGGCGACCTAATGTCCTCCACCCGTGGAGTGCCGTAGCGCACAGTTTCGACGCTCTCATAGTTTCAGGGTCCTCAAGCGCTGCAGTATACTGTAAGCTGGCAATGATCCAAAACGGATATAGGCCGTCCTTCAAGCCAATTCTGCTGTCTTGTCGTTTGCAAACCACTGCTCACGGAGGCGGCCCAAAATGGCAGACTTCTTTCCCCTAACTTTACAAAAACCTCATACAGGTCGGACCAACTGCCTTCCCTTTTATAAGAGGACATAAAATCTGAAATTACCTGTTTTGCGGTCTTCTTAGCCGGTGCAACCATAGCGAATTGCTGTCCAGCAACAGTCAAAACGCAGCGATACGCTTTTGGATGGGACGCCACTTCTTCATATCTAAATTTTTGTGGTGAGAACTCCGTAGAGATAATGCTAATCTTGATATTTTTAGGCGCTCGTAGTAAATTGCAGAGCGTTTCCTTAATGTTCAATCTATGTTTTGTGAGCAAAAATGGGCCCCTATCTATGTTCGCAGAGCAAAAATCGACTGCTGTATGTGGTACTGGAGGCCACAAGTTTTGCTATCTGAGGTCATCTACTTAGCGTCAGTAATTACCGATCCGGCATACTACGTAGTTTGCGAACCATCGGACACAATTTTTCAGCAGTTCTTGAAAGATGATTATAAACCCTCTAACATCCGTATGGAAACTTCTCCTAGGCATGCTTGAGGACTTTCTCATGCAGTGAAATTGATAGTGAGGTGCAAGAACATTAAAAGTACATACGAATGAAAAAAGCAAGAAAGCAGCGCCACACCAAAATTTTTGCGGTATCAGCCATTTAAGTTACGACTTTCAAAGGTTTTGATCAAAAACGAATCATTCCGAGATGATATCGTTGTTTTTGTTTTGTCATGACTGGCTATTGAAATTTTGGTTTTCCTACTAATAAGGTCGAAGATATTGCTTATACGATCCTCATCTTCATTCTAATACAAAGAAAGTAGTCAGCTTACGTCTCCGAGATATCCTTGAAGACTTCATGGAGAAGCATAGCAGGTGTTTTGCCTGTTGGATCGGTTTCCTTCTTGGCCGCTTTCTTGAAGAAGTTTTGTCCAAACTGAAATACATCAAATTAGTTTTCAGAAGAGATATAGTCGGTGAACCAAGGCAGTACAGGCTGTTGGGACCATGCCTTCTTCGGGAAGCTTCCTGGATCTGCTCCGCCTTGACGTGCACCCCCAGGAGCTACCCATCTACCGTAACCAACGCCAGCGCGATTTTGAGCGAATTGGCCTTTCGGAATCTAAAACCCCACACTAGGTCAACGACAAAGATGCACGCAAACGAGAAAAAATGAATGAAATAAGGTCAACCGACCTTTGGCGCGTCCCCATAACCTCCTCTTGCATTTGCAAAATTGGGAGTATTCCGAAAGTTCTGAGGTATTGCTGCGGCCGACACGGAAGAGTTACCCCAACCATAGGAATAGCCTTGGTTCTAGAAAAGTCTCAACAGCTTTTCTTTTATTTGCAGTTTTATCACGCATACAGTTCAGCCGATATAGTTGACGGCTGACAGTGTTTGCCAACACCATTTGCGCGTAAAGAACCGCATGAGCATAAAACTTGAGAAAGCGCACTCCGTGGTCATTTTTTCGCGCGAATGTTGTACAGCAGTGGCACTACAACAACCGTCAAGTCCACTGAACTGTAACTGCCTGATATGCTTAGCACAAAGAATTACCTGAGGAGGTGCTGCACGAAAGCTGCCGTTGCCAATAGTGGCGCTGTAAGCGTACGGATCCATCTTAACCTGCACAAAACCAATAGATTATAGACGAAATTACTAGATTCTTGAGCGAATATGTTACGAAAAGAATCCAAGAACGATAAAAATGCTTTATTGGAATTCAGCAAACTGATATTGATCACTGAAGCACGATGCAACCTATGTTTTTCCCCCACAAACTGTCGAGTTAAAAATTTGGCTGCGGTCAGATTTACTATTTCATTAACAGTCAGGTGATGCAGCTAACTGGTGTGCTTATCTCATTTTTTCAAAAAATTATCACCACATAAGCTCTTCTCATGGATTTCTAAAAAGACAAGAACAGAAAAAAGATGTGCATGCTGATAATAAATTTGGTTTCATAATGGAACATGTACCTGAATCTGGTAAATTTTACCAATTCAGCGCATCTAGGTGAATGATTTTGAAAAATTAGTAATATTATTAATGATGTGACGTAGAACTGTTCAATGTTCACGATTTAGGCATGAAAAGAGCGATGGGGAAGCGGATAAGCGCTAGCGATACATGAAATCTGTTTACACAAAATTCAAATTTCATGTGCGTAACGCCATTTATACATATGAACACAATGCTGTGTATAACCAGAGAGCAAAGAATTGGAAGTGCGTTGCAAGGAAAGTCGAACTAGTACTTGCTGCACTATTTGCATTGGCAACGCGTATTGATGGCGGCAGAGATGGACGGCGGCTCGGGAGCGTCGCTGGGCAACTGTTCCTCAGCCGAGCACGGCTGAGCCAACCCGTGCAGCGAAAATGGGCTTTAATTCATCTTCTCAAAAACAGAAAAGTATTACAGATCCAGATAAAAGAGCAATTAAATGGTGCGTAAAAGCTGGCCAGGCATGACATGGGTTTTGTCGTTTCTCAAGTAAGTAAGCAAATTTCAGCTGGGTATCTTTTTATATATGCTCCCATATCACAAAGTTCCGCTAATTCTTAGTCTTGGAATTGTCAATAATATCAATGATTTTTATATTTGGATCACATAATTTGCAGAAAACTGCGAAAGACTGTCGCTGATTTGTAGGGTGTTTTGACAATTCAACAGTGTTTTTTTATAAAAGAACATCATCTATTTAGTGTATAATTTATTGAAAATGTCCAAAACTATCTGATAAGAAAGTACATAGTTTTTCTTGTGTTCCTCTGTATGAGAGTCCTCCCTTTCAAAACATTTAACTCCAAAAAATCAACATTCAGAAAGCGTACAATTTTTTAAGAAACGAGTTCGACTTTTAACGTAAACTTAGGCCCGTATGCACTAACATTTTTGCGGCGAGGGGAGCGGCGTCCCCCGTTATGAAGGGACCGCGTGCGGACGCCGCTGCGGCTTTTTCATCATTGCGGACGCCGCTCCCCTCGCCGCAGGGATGTTAGTGCATGCGGCCCTTAGTGGGCAAAGGAACTCCCACACTCATGGGCCCGTCCACCCAAATCCGGGGTTAGTGAGTTTTGCTGCGACACAATAGCCAGGCCTCGACTGACTGCTCAACACGCTGCAGAAGGAGGATTCCGAACAGAATGCTGCAGAATTTAGTCTGAGGGTGACAGATTACCCGGGGCTGTCAAAATTTTGTCATTCATAACCAGATTTCAACGGTCCTAAGTAATATTAGTGCAGTTTCTGGCCTATCAGCTTCAAACCACCCATGCTAATAAGCACCCCTGCCTCGTCAACTAAAGCAATTTTCTCGCTCCGGGAATGACCTTTTGCAACATGACCTGGGCTTTTACTTGGCCAAGTGTCTAGCCATTATATAAAACCGAAATTTTGCCAACTTTCAGATTGGGTGGGCGTGCATCCATACACCATTTTGGTGCATGCGTACGGCTCAAAACTGAGGTTATCGATCGAAATTGTGGTTATCCACAAATCTTGCTCGTTGGAGAAACCAAGCTAGTTGTTGCTCATAAGCAACAGCCAATCCCATTCGCTCAAAGATTATCACATCGAAATGAGAGACTTGCTCGTGTGATCTCTTATGTCATTCTCTTGCATTTCAGAAGAGAAGGTAACTATATAGCATAGCAAAATTCTGAAAAGTTTGCAAGAAGGCTAACCATTTGAAGAAAGACGAAAAAGAATGTGCGAAAGACACCACTCCAGCAGCGTTCACAACACGAAATGAATAGAAATCACAGTGGAAGCCACATCATTCGATTTGCCACGTTTTAGATCGAGCGCCCGATCAAGCCTATGCAAAATACGAGAAAACCAGAGCATGAGAAGAAAACCATTCAACGGAGCAGATTCCTTCTCAAAAGATAAGAATTCATCGCGAAATTTGATGAGCAAGCGCATCCTGGGAAGGAACAGAAAAAATGAATAGGAAGATTGGATGCTCGATTTTCGGAACAGTTTGCGGCATTTGCATATTGAACTCATTTTACACAATTGCAGACCTACAGTAACCGTAAGCCGATCCTCAAAAATAGTGGCCCGCTTGCGTAGATGGCTGGGTGGGTTTTGAATATCTTTTTTTCTCAAGGTACTGATAAGTAGGGGAAGTGTATGTCAACAATTTAGGTGAAATAAACTGCCACGACATGTTGAACCGAGATAATCCTCTGGTTGCTATTGCTTCGGGGCAATTTGCGTTGAGCATCATGCAGGTGACAGAAGGAGCTTTGTCTTTTTTTCAGTTTTATACTACCTAAAATCTCAATTAGATGACTCCATCCAACAGGTAAGTCCTCCAAAAGGTTGGATTTGTGACTACAAGCATTTGATTTTCAAAGAACTACAAGAAAAGGTCATTATACTAGGCGAAAGCTCTTGAAGAGCTCTCTCGAATCATGTTTGAAAAGTCAGCAATGCGTGCAAACTTTACAGCGGGGAAGGCATTGAAGAAAAAGACGGCTACTTCAGCAGCATTGGGAAGTGCTGGGAAAACCCAAAAATCGCATGTAATATGGGACTGGATCTGCAAATTGTATATAATTGAAAAAAGTTTTCCGAGAGTTTTTGGGAGCATACAGAGGTGTCTTCTTTGTCTGCATGAAAAAGCTGTTTTGAAGTTCAAAAGTCCTGATTTCCAAAGAAGCGCACTTATCCTACGAGTGCTGTGGATACTAATTTTTAATTTTTGATTTTAATTTTATTAATTCTAATTTTTAAAGCAGTTTCGTCAGAATACACTTCCTTTTAGGTGATGTTTATGTTCTATTACGTGAAAATATATTTGAACATCTTTCACGTTCCTCAAGTATGGTTCAACATTGCTCAAACATTGTTCATGTTTTGGAATGCAATTAACGACCCATTGTTTGGTTATATGCAGGTAAGCGCCGTACTTCAGCACTTTTACCACATATTTGGATTTTCAGGACAAGCCGGGATCTTGGCTAAATTCGCGAACTCGCGTGATTCGCTCTTTCGCACCTTTCCTGGTTATCTCGTTCGTGTTTATGTGGGTGCCATGGTCGGAGGGTTCAGCTCTTGAAGGCATGCATCTCATCCTTTCGCTGTTTCTATACGACGCATTCTTCAGGCATGGAACCTTTAGCAGAACTTATGCTTGTTTTTCTGCTCTTTTATCTTAGCGGTCTTTTCCAATTTTTCCGGAACATAATTTTTTCGTTTTGCATTGGATTTGACTTTTGGCTATGACTTTTGGTGATGCAGAAGCATCTTTCTGCCGAGCTATAGGTTACCACGTACTTATTTCAGTGCCATCGGGGTAGCCTGGGGAGCATTGTTCGCGGATTCAACCAAAGAACCTCGTCTTCGTGTTGCAGCCATGAAGTATAGTCAGATTGCTATACTCGCTTCAGTCAATATCATCGCGATTACCGAGAAACTCAGCCATAGCCTCGATGTGAGTCACTTTTATTGTCAAGTTTCGAGAAATTGTGACTCCAGATAAGTTGAATATATTGATTTTGACTTCACAATTTTCTGGAAATAATCCGTAAAAGGAAAACAATTTTTTAGTTTCTTGAAAAATTTGAGAATTATAAAAGAGAAGTGATTCCATGTTAATGGAAACCATTGTTCAAGTGGCAGCTGTTGTGATTTTCCTATCCCAAAGCTCTAAGATATCGCTGAGAACATATTAGTTCCACGAGCATCCAGCGTTCTCCCCTATACGGTACAAAAAGAGCTGCTCTGCTTGATTGCCGATTTCCGCACGAATAGTATAGTCCGAGAAAGGGTGAAGTCGAATTTTTCGACTGCGTATAATATCTGCCGCGTGGATAATGGTTTGAAGCTCCCAGTCAGATTTCATACAGAAGAGCGAAGGAGGAGTTTTGTAGAGCGAGGCTAAGTTAAGTGGTCGATAAAATCGGAAGGTTTTTTTAGTCGAAAGAGCATGCATGAATACTACTCTCATTGTTAGCATAGCTCCATAACTGTAAACAAACGCTTGCAAAAGGGCATATTTTCAGCCGCTGACTAATGAATTTTGTGCGTATTCAACTTACACCGTGTTTTGCAGAGATTACTTGTATTTCAAACAATCACTGTTGTTGTGGCACTTGTTGCCCTTTATTGCTTCATGATTGCTGGCTCTCTCCGTCCATCGCTCCCTTTCAGTGCAGAAAAAGGAAGTCTTTTGGCTGATGTGGATGATTTCACTACTCCAGCTCGAGGGTAAAGTGTTTGAATACGTGGATGCTTATAATCGTGCAGTTTGCTAGGAAGGAAATGACTTCGATGTGGGATGCTACCAAAGAAATATTATTGGAGAGGGATTTCATGGCTATTATCGGCTCCAACTTTATTCATACCGCGAGGCTCGTATCCTAGCCACCATTTTTCTGCAGTCCAAATGTTTTGTTTCAGAAGCGTTTCCCACATGAACTTTGCTTCCATAGCTACTGAGCTACTCATACCTCAAACAATCTTACCAAAAGGTTCCATTCGATTGAGTTTATTCTACGGTGTCCTAACACTTGGGCCTCAGGTCACCCATTTCGATTTTTCCTCCAGATTTTGATTTCAATCTTCTACAGATATTGCTGATTTTGAACGAACGTCTCATTAACAAATGTGGAGCCTATCGAATTTTGATGACCACCTATGCTATTTCCTTCTTTTCTGGATTGACATTCTTTTTTGCTAGTGATCCATACTTTATCATGATTTTTATGGTGATCGACAGGTAGTTTTGTATGCACGTATTTATTTATTCTGGTAATCTACTGAGCAACATTTGTAGTATAACGGTTCACTCCGCGGCACCGCTTTTCAACATCATTATTTCGGACTTCATAGATGACGATGCGAAACGACATTCGCGCAAGTAAGATCTTTGTTTGATCTCATAGTCTCAAGATCTAATAACTGTAAACATTTGTTTGTCAAAACATATGTGTTTAGATCAGGGCTATCCTCACTGGTATTTAGTTTGAATGCATTAGTTGTCAAACCTGCTCAGTCCATAGCGCCGGTTGTCGTCGTATATATCCTCAATGCTTACGGGTACCAGGTATTCTTTTCCTCCTTATTGTACTTCTAAGTTTTTTTGCCTTCAAGGTTTTCTACTTTTAGAATTATGTTGACACCAAACAATCGACAGCTGACCTTGCTTATGGTATACGCCTTGTCTTGATGTCTACCCCTCTTATTCTTGGCGGCTTGCAATATCTCATTTTCAAATCTTATTCTTTGAAAAATAAACACCTTCAGAAACCTGAAGAAAACATTTGATTAAACGATACACTTCGTTTGTCTTGAAATCATTCGTGCTGTATCTGTCAAAATCGCTATAGGAGAAAAGTAAAATACGGTGTCTCTTCAAAACCTGTGATATTCTTGACTCAGTATTATTGCCTATCATAACATTTTCGATTCTTTGACCACTCTCTTGATGTATAATTTCTAACAGTCACATTTCACATGACATACCTCACTGTAGATTGTTTCAACGCTTGGAGGTTTTCTTCGAAAGCTTAATAACGTATTTCATTCTCTTTCATCATTTTTATATGCATCATATGCTAGTTCATAGAACAGATTTAGTTATTACACAACAGCTTCGAATTTAGGAATTGATCTTAGAACCCATGAATCATGAATTTATGTATATGTCATGCAGATTGAGGTTGTATCAACTGCCCGTTCATCCCAAAGATAAATTTTTTTCTGTTTGCAGTCTTGCTGCAACAGAGTGACTATCTCACTTTATTTCAACCCTTCAATGACTGATGCCTCTCACACCATAAACTTGGGCTTTTTATTAGACCACGCTTGTTTAGGTTCTGAGGCATTTTTTAGGTTATCGAAGTTCAGTAGGTTTGATGAGATTCATAATCTTGATCCTAGCGTGCACAATTGAAACTCGTAAAGTGATGGGTTAACTTTGGCTTGTTTTACAGAATGAGCCTCTCAGTCCTTGCTGCTGTGGACCAGATACGCGCCGCAGTACCTTGTGCACTGCTTTCATTTTCGATGATCCCATTCGCAACTGTGTCGCTTGGCATCGGAGCTGCCTCGTGGATAATGCCGAGGAGAACCATTCAGGTCGCGTATCATACTTTGAATACAGTAGTGTCAAAAGGCTATTATTTTAGACTTTAGACAATGCGCTGTATGGCGCTTATTTACGTTTGTGTCTATTCGTCTTCGAGAATCTTTCTGGAGTTCAGGTCAGTGTGATGGATATATTTCGAAGGAAAGTCCTTGCGCGAGCGTTTTTTTTTTGCGTAAAGTCCATATTAGGCGATTTTTTCGCGTTGGTTTTTTTCGTGATTCTATGAAAGATTAGAAAATGAACAAGGAGAAGTATACAGCTGTAATGCAGCAAAACTGCTACGATAAGTTAGCGAGTCCTGATTTTTGAAGACTCTCAACTATTGCTGTAATCTCAGTCAGATAACGGTGGAACGTTAGTAGTTTGGAAATAGCCACTAATCTCTATCCATTTACCGCAGAAATACTCTCGCATTGTCCTCTGCCTTTTTGCGATAATTTGCATTTTCTTCAATTTTTCTTCTGTTTTGTTCCGTAATGTAGCTCAAGTTGTGAGCTACAAAATAGAACGTCAGAGCTGGATTGAAGTTCTCAGCACTGCTATCACCTCCAGATGTACCACCCTAAAATCCTTACAGATAAGGCTACTTTTTGGCCCAGACAAGTGTCTTCAAACAAGTCCGCCCCACAGATATCCAGATAAGTCCGAAACGGTTTTATCTGCACTGGACTTATCTTGAGGGACTTGTCTGCGAGAAAGCCCTATTTGTGGGATCTTACGGTATCGTCTTACCGGTTTGTTTCCAGATAAAACTGTATGGCGACATAAAGCAGCTGAAAGAGAAACCCGAGACAGCGATAGTACTTTCGAACCATCAGAGTGATGGTAAGTGGGAGTCAATTATAACATCTCGTGAGAAATCTTCGCTTTTCAGTAGACTGGGCGGTAATAGTGATGCTAGCCGACCGCCATGGACTTCGAGGCAACGAAGCGGGACTACGCATCATAGTCAAGCATGTAATTCATTACGTGCCCCTTTTCGGGTGGTATATATTCCAGGTGATTGAACTTTTTTTAGTTGATCTTTCAGAGCTTTATGGAATTTTTTCGTTGTTTAGCACGGCTACATTTATGTGCGACGTTTTGGTGAATTTCTCAGCGGTCCCGTTCTAAAGCAACTAGCTTGGCTCGACTCAATAGATGAGAAGTATTGGCTTCTTGTCTTCCCTGAAGGGACAAGGTAAGTGCATTCTCTGCAGTTTGTATGTCGAGTTCAGTATTCAGGTTCTCTTACAAAAAGCAGGATAATATTCGGGCTAGTGTGGAGTTCTGTACTAGAAAGGTGAGAACAAAATATCCATTGATCTGTTCTGATACCTATGGGGTTTAGGGAATTCCACCATTCCAAAATGTTCTCACCCCACGAGTTGGTGGTACGTTCATGGCACTGGAAAACCTTGAAACACTCGATGCCGTCTATGATGTAACAATTGGTTACGGTCAGACGAGGCAAGTAAAATCTTGCTGAAACATCGCCGTGTAATTTACGTTGAACTTTTGAAGGTTACCAAATCGACGCGGCCTTGCACCGAATATGTTCGAGTTCTGTTGCGGTTCACCGGTAGCAAAAACAGTCAGCATACATGTGAAAAGATACTCAGCAGAAGAACTGCAAAAGAAACCTAGAAAAGAGCTGCAAGATTGGATACTGGCAACTTTTGCTGAAAAAGACAGGTTAGTGTCGGTTTTTGGAAGGCTTTGAATTGTATAGTCCCTGCACCTGGTATGGGTATGTTAAAAAGTTGTAATTTTGTTCTTCGTCACCCCATTTATACCGTTGATTCCGGTTACAGTAACATCATGAACATATCTTGTAAATAATACATCAGCCTTTTTCATCTGTAAATGTTGTTTGTGAGCACAGCTAAACACATGTGCATGGATCAAATCATATTCATCTCTGTCTCTTCTTTCAGACTGATGGAAACATACCAACAAACTGGCGAATTTCCCGATCCTGTATCGATGAATGAGCCATCTGTTTCACTGCTTCGCACCCTTCCACCAACCCTCTTTTTCACTGCCGCTCTAGTGGCTCCCTTCTTTTCGCGAACCGTACGTTCAGCTTATTTCTATACTTTTGCCAGTTTTCCACTGTTAATTTTCTGGCTGGAAGTTAGAAAATGCGCCTGAATAAAAGGTGATTTGCGAAAATCATTGTGGATAGCTGCCTGTGCTGTCATCTCTGGATCACTTAGAATTACTAGGTTAGGGCTGTAGTCGTAGAGGACATATCATGTTTTCTAGTGCTTTGCTTTCGGAATTTGCTATCTTGTGAGTGGCTGTAAATATCGTTTTTCTAATTTGAAAGTATTAATGTAAGCAGCTTACAAGTGCATTACGGAATGGAATATATTGTATCACCTACCTGTATTATCACGCCTAATTCTCGTGTTCACTTCACCGTAAGACGGTCTTCTTCACCGAAGATTAATTCGATGTTTTCAGAGTAATCTGTACATAACTTTTGATTTCTAACAGTGCGAATTTTTTATAAATGCTTTTATTACTACTCCGTAGTTCAGTGATGACTCGTTGAACGTTCTGCTATCGCACTAATGAAGAATAATTCCGGGAACTTTCCTCAAGGTAAGAAAATCATCAATCGACCAGTAGTAAAAGCTATTTTTTAATGCTTTTCCCAATTTTGCTTTTAGTTATTTTTGTACTCTGTTAAAGATTTTGTCTGAGAATTTCTGTAGCGGAGAATGTGCAATGTAGGATTTTGTTGGTGAAACGACACTGTATTTGTGAGCTTCTTACTCTTCAAGAGCAAATGAGTCTTCTAACTTTCTGTGCTTTATTTGCGACCAATCTTTATCCAAAGCCGAAGATACGTACATAATGTACAGCACTTAAACACTTTTCATAACTCAACTCAGCTAGCGAAAGAATAACTGCATAGATCGAACGAATGAATGACCGGAAAAAAACGAATGAACGAACGGATGAACACAACAAAAAAGAGGAGGGTGGGTGGGTAAAGGAGGCGGGTATGTATGCTTCCGAAACAACATGATCATTGTCACCTAAAAACATTTGGGGGGTCGGGAGGTAGGCTAATCGGACTATCCGGAAGTGAGGCGGGAATACGGTAGGACACGACGGGTACCCGAACACGGCTGGTGTGTGAGAAATTAACGACGAATGATATATGGAGAATACAAAGCAAACAGAACAAACACACACAATTTCAAGCGAGGCGCTGAATTTCACACCGGTGCGGGTTGTACAAAATATGCTAGAAAACGAGGGGCCGTGGGGATAGAAAAAAAATAGAGCGGAGAGGGAGGAAAGAAGGGGAGGGAGGTAGCGATGAGAAGAAGGGAAGCACTCAGACACGCTGTGGTTGATAATTCGCCTTAATAATTGATTAAAAAATGAGGACAAAGTCTATTCCCAGGCGAAGGCGGTTGCTCATATAAGCGAAGCGTGTGCGGCCGTACGAGAGCTCTAACTCGCAGTTGCTTCGCAATATAAACCGAGCTCCTCGTCAACCAGCCTTTACCTCCTGGTAAACTGTGTAAGCGACTAAAATTGGTTTTTGACCACTTCAAAGGGAATCGGGTGCCTTTGATTTATTCAAAAATTTCCAAATCTTATCTTCTAAAATCGCAGGACTCTAACGTTATGGTCTATCACATTTGCTCTTTCGAGTAAAGTATATCCTAGAGAAACTAGGAGGTTAAAAAAATTGAGGTCACTCATAAAAAGGCGACAAACATGTCCCGAAACGCGCTACTTTACGCCTCCAGCCCCTTTGTCAACCCCCGACGGCGTTCGTATTTTCCCCCGTCGATGTTTTCAATCGGCACTCAGCTCGGGCCGGAGTTGTTTTGCAGCAGTGGACATAGATAGAATAGGCTTGCTATGAGGTACGCACACAGCCGTAAATAGAAGTGTTCGAGGCTGGAGACGCAGGTACACGCGAGGCGTGATTTGTGCGTGCACCGTTTCCGGATTCAGGCGCTTACGTAAACACGGTCCTACAAGACGACTGACGACTAGGGGAGGGGGGTATAGCGTGGTAAGTGGTCGTGCTAGACTGGACTACGAAATCTCATATTCAGCCGAGGCTATCGCTGTGCTCGATCAACCCGGTGTCCGAAAAAAATATATGGGGGAAGAATCAGTTCTACTAAACAACACAACAAGGCAAACATAGACTCTAGCCGTCCCGAAAGTAACATTTTTTCGAGGCTTAGGCTAATGATGAGAATAACAGCACATAAAGTCTCTAATCGGAATATAATCTGACCATTTCCTAGTGAGATTAGCACGGTGCTAGCGAAAGAAACACAGCTGCTCTGTGCTTCTGGTCTCGAGACGAAAGCAGAATTATGGAATATAGCGGAATTTTGATTATAGGGATCCGGCTCGAGCCAATGGCGAACGAATTAAGATGTCTTTCATTCTTCGGATACCGTGATAGTTTTTCGAGCCGCAAGCCGAACATGTGATCGGCTCGTGGACGATACTGTAATTGCCCTAAAATAGAAAGACGTCAATAGTATGTACTGAACAGTGGCAACATAACCATTTCTGGAAGCTTCTGCAGAGATAACAAACAAAGCAAAAAATCTGGAGATTTCGTAGCATACGAGCTGTCAATCAAGCGAAATATCAACAATGAAAGGAAAAGAAATGAGCTGTACTTCTGGAGTCTCGAAAGGGAGAAGGAAGTTTACAAATAAATATTGGTTCTTGCTCTATCATAGCTTTTCTCACTAGCAGGCACTCCTTCTGGGATAAATGCCATACACGGACCTAATTTATGCAAGAAAAGCTTTTTCGAGACTTGGAAATTATTTCCAGATGCAAGAAAATTTTTCGAAAGCCGCTCGTTAATGCTTGTTTGATTTCAAGCTCGCGAAAAAAATTAGCTTTTACCTTAGTGAAAAGATACAAGGTGCTCCCGACTTTTGAAGAATTTCCAGTCAAAGATTTTGAGGAAGATCACGGAACTTTAGGCAATCGCCTGTCGATTTTGAAACTTGTTAAGGGAAGGTGAACCAAGAGAAAGTAGAAATTGAAAAAGTGCTTATGGCTGATAAAAGGCAACAAAACATACATATTGCAAAACTTATTTTCGGCACATCGGTTGGCTACCAATTATTCTGCAAGAATATGCTTTTCTGATTTCAATTTAAATGTTTTCGCACAGTGGTGTTCGAATGGAAGGACGAAAATTTTACTTTACGCAAACATACACCTAACGCTCGCAATTAGTTTGACTTGATTAATAACTATGATATTAATGGTAAAAAAATTGAATATACATGTCACTTACATCTATTTTTGTAAACATGATTGTAATCAATGTCATTCATTGTTTCCACTCCCAAGTTTTTTTTTTCTCGGAATCAAGTTACTTGCACTATTTCAGACGTGTTATTGAACTAAGCATTATCATTCAAGCGACGACGTACGACCTTGTTGCAAAAATCGTCAGAACCGCAAGAAAAAAGTTTCACGACAAGAAATGAAAGATTCGCTTTTACTACTTCTTGCTCTATCATCACTTTTCCCACCAAGAAAAAGCGTAGAACTAGTTTGTGTGTTGCTTCGCAACATTTCCAAGGTCACATTAGAAGTTAGCAAGAAGGACTGGCTTCAACCAAATAATGTGAAACTATACCATTATCTCACATTCACAATCTGCATCATGATGTTCTCGGGGACAAGTAGTGGACTGCGACATACGGTGCATGTAGGTGGACAGCATTTGCCGGCAGATACTGAAATATTGCAAAAAGTCATAAGAAAATTTCAAAAATCAGAAGAAATTCTATGCTCAACCCCTCATACAAATAAACGCATAGAGGGATTGATAATTTGGCATAGACTTCATTCAAAAAGTTGAAAAGGAAAAAGAAAAGCAGAAAAAATGAAGCTGAGCAAACACTAGATATGAATAAGAAAACGAGACTTTGCAATATAAGAGAAGAAAATGATGTCATTTTCGTAAAAAAAAATCCATCGAATGCTTGCCGCCTCGTTAGGAAAACAAAAACCTGTATGATTGAACAATGTCATGAGAATTTGATGTCTAATTTAGCGTAAAGAAATCTCTCGAACAAAAAATGAAGTGTACGTTGGATCGTTGAAGCTTAACATCATCGAATTCCATCATTTTTATGGGTGGTTTTTCTCTTTTTATACATTTTTGATGTTTTTCTTGAACTGCGTTTCAGCTACTTTGATACTAACAACAGAGCTTTCACTTACCTATATCATAGTAGTACAAAGTCCCGAGAACGATAGACTTTCCGTTGAACCATCCATCTGAAAAGAATATTTACTGCCGATGATAAATCATCGGGATCACAAGAGTGAGAAAAGAAGAATGCGCGAAGAAAAACTCAACGAACGGGAATAAATCAGTCACATTTGAAAAAAGCGAAGAGAAATGGCTTCCATCAAAAATAGAAAGATCTTAGAATAAATTGCTTTACCTCGACCGCAGTTATTGCAGCGCCAATCCGCCCACAAACAGCTCGCGCACAGTTGTTGCAGGTAGTTACGCTTACCGTCATACATTACCTAAACAGAAGAAATAATTCTCAAAAAAAAACCAGTAAGCAGTTTACAAGGACTATGGCCCTAAAACATTAGGATTCAAAAATAAAACACTATAGAATCCTTTCAGAACAGAAAAAAGAAAAAGCTCACCTCTGTGGGAGGTCCAAAATGGCAAACAGGTGACAAGAAGAATACACCATCGACAAGCGGATATCGGTCGTAAACCTAAAAAAATAAATCAAGTGGGAAAGCAACAAAAAATGGATATCGATACTTTCTCAATTTTGTGCAGCACGGAGCTTCACTTAATATTTATAATCGCTCTTTTCTTTGAAATGCCTGAGCATTTCATTTAGTTTCAAGATGACTGAAAAAAACGTAAAGTAGCTTGCTCTGACACAAAAAAGCTTCTGCAGCATTCCAGTTCTTCGAGTTTTCTTGGAACTTTTTGTGAGCAGTGAAACCCCTCAGAAAAAAAACATTACGACTTAATCTGTTCTAATTGCCCTGATATTTCACTTAGCTCGAGATAAAAAAAATCGTGAGTTGCTCTTCAAGACGCGAGTAGTTGGAAAAAAAGTTTTGCAACACGCCATTTCTTTTTCGAGGGTTTTTCATATCTCTTCGAGAGTAAGAAAAACTTCTTGAAAAAGTACACGCAAGAAAGAGAGATGGAATCACGTCAAAGATAAAAACCAAGAGTCGTCAGAATTTTGGCTGGTTTCAATGACATTTTAGAGAAGCAATATCAGCTGCAATTGATATGTATTCTGAAAGCTCTTGCCGAGAATTCTGACAAAAATCGGATGAAAAAATCACTATAGGAGAGGTGCATACTCTGTTCTTCTTCTTTTCTTGAGCAATACTGAGTGATGCTTTTTTTAAAAAAAATTTTTTATAAAAACATTAGAATATGCTCACCACCATGTCACGACGGCAACCAACACAGGGCACAGTACGATGGTTATGTGCTCCTAATGTCTTCAGCAAGCAGAGACGGACATCGTCACCCCCTTGTGGGCAGTCGTCTTCCATCTGGAACGATACTGCATGTCAGTGTCGGTAGATTTTTTTTGGAAAGCGGTGGGGAGGGGGGGGGGGGGAGGCAGCAATTTCGAATGAAAGAGCTTTAGCCACTTTCGAAAATTGTCTGGGCAGCCCTCCACTTTTGGGGCTCCCAACCCTCAAATTTCAAGGGGGCTGAGCCCGATACCAGAAAATATTTTCCGGAACTAATGGATTCTCAAAAAATCAAAATATTTAGATTCTTTAAGGGAATAAAATCATTCCAGAATCTTATGCCAATTTAGCCGAAACCGAAAGCTCAATCACAGTATCTTTGAAGCTACGGGACCAATTTGGAAAAAACATTACGAGAGAGATTTTTTGAAAATTTCCATGCATAAAGTTCCAGGGAATTCTTGATGGATTACCACGCGATCCCGTCATTACAAAATTGTTGCGGGTTTCAACGATACCGTCTTCGGCAATTGGTGATAATTTGAAGCTTTTACGTATGCATTTTTTTGCTACTTATTTCACTGCAATCCCATGCATAAATTACAAGATTTTTAATCCAAAAATTTAAATTTTTTCAGCGTACATTTTCGACAAGCCCCTAGAAAAAACACGCTTTTGCTAGTCCGCTCGTTGATTCTTTACCACAGCACTCTTCACCCCTCGTAGACGAATGCACTCTAAAAAGGCTGATGCTGTACTACAAACAACACTCGCATTAACAAGCAACAGACAAAATCGATCGTTTGAAGGCGAGAGTTTCGGAATCACGCGAAATTACTGGGGAAACGAAACCACTGAGAAAATGCACTTTTTCGGTTGTGTGGCATGTGCAATACACGAGACTTCGAGCAGCACCAATTTGGTCAATACCACATGAAGAAAATCAAAGCTGGCAATTCTGAGGCTCAGATATAAAGGAAAAGACTAGTCGGTACTTTTTACTGATATCAAATGCAGTTATTTTCATAGAAGATTACTTTCATAGAGTTTTTTAATTGTTTTTATTAGATCTTTGATATTCTCAAGTGCACCGATAAAAAATAGGGATGGATGATAAAATCAAGTAGTACAAACTGTTCAGCGTTTTGGGGGGAAAATGCCTTTATGGTTTTTTCAAGCTTTCATCATTTCCCAAAGTCGAGCTATTTACCCTGCAAAATTTTTTGCGCAATCCAAAACTGATCTGCACTTTTTATTTTTTGCACTTGTCCGAGCTGTTGTTAGTGTACTCCGCCGTTAGCTTTTTTTGAAAGCTGGTTAACAGTTATCTGGGCAACCAGCAGTGCTCATTTTCTTCCCGAGGACAATAGTCCAGAGCATCAGACAAGCAAAGAGATGTATGAACTGTTCAAATTGTTTGATTAGCTCCCCAGACGTGAAAAAAATTGTTAAAAAACAGTTTTGCGTCGCTCTCTCACACCCGTGAGGTAATTAATGTTGTAAAAAGCATGGTTCTCTTTAAACCCTATCATGACTATCACAACTAATGAATTCTAGTAGATGACAGATTACGTCTACACGAAAGATCGCAATTTCCAAAAAGCCTAAAAATCAAACCACTTGGGACTGTATAAGAAAGGAAATAAAAGCGCTATGAAATTACACTAAAATGGATTAAGTGCTCCAATGTGCCATCAAGAAAGATTAGATTATGAGACTGCGATAGCCTTACTGTTTGATCCTGACCCTCAAATCCCACACGTTGCTTTATGTACGCTGAATTAGACAAAAAAGATGGTACCACAGCCTAAACACATAATTAGCAGGTGATAAATTGTCTAGACAGATAATCTCACTATCAGAAACTCATCCGATCTCATCTCAAATCCTTAGTAAAAGCAGATTCCTTTTTTAGAATTTTGCAACTCAGAAAGCGTATTTTTCGACGGATTAACTTTGGTAAAAAAAAAGGTGATTAGCGCGTGAGATCATTTGCATTAGTATTGGCATTCTTAAATTCTTCACTATTGTTAATCACTTCTCCATTACAATTTAATAACTTCACCAAAAAGCAAGACTTGCGCACTATGATCTTTTTTCCGCGCAAATCGCCGGCTCACAAGCATAAAAAATATTTCCGCACAGCTGTTGTCGGCACCGCAAAGGCACCATATTAACACTGAATCTACTCAATGGTATTTTATGCACGACCTGGCAACAAAATTTCTCAGAATAAATTAGGGTTTTTTATGCGCAAATCGTTAGCATCACAAGCATGAAAAGGTGTTTTCGCACAGATGTTGTTGGCACCGCAGGTGCACTATATTGATCCAAACAAATCTACCGAACTGTATATCATACATGTTAGACAAATTCCTCAAGATTAGGATTTTTGGATGCTACGTGAATTTATTTTCAACTGGGTTTCTGCGCAAGTATTTATGATAACAACAGTTCTAGAGATGGTAATGATTAGTACTCTTGAGTTCCATTCCTTCCAGAAAATTCCGTCACCTTTATGGAAGCTGTTCGAAAAACTTCCCTCACCCGACGTTCCACGCATAATTAGCATGAAATGACTAGTCGCATGCGCGAGTTTCGTCGTTCGACACAGTAACCTCAATAGCTCGAAAAGATCCCTCGTTTTACGTCCGAACACATGTCGACGCTCACAAACACATGCAAAACAATCGCGTCGCGAGCCGCGAGCAGTTCGTCAGCCGCTGCCTGGCGGAATAGCGCGCGTGAGCGGCTAGCGAAAACAACGCTGGCGGCGAGGCGACGCCGCTGCCGCTCAGAGTGCAACCAGCAGTGACGGTTTGTTTTGGCCAGCCAGCACACAGCCATCGACGATCGATGGTGGGAATGGAGAGCAGGGGAATGGAAGGGGGGGGGAAGTTAATATGGTCCTACCTTGATATGGATCCCGTTGAACTTCGACATCGGAATGATCGAGAGCAGATTGTCGAAGTTTTCGCGCCGCGCAAACACCGACCCATTTATTCGAACCTGCAAAAAATAGATGTTGCATGCAACTTGAAAGACAAGCCGCTAAGGGCAATCTTCATTTTTCATTTTCTTACTTTTCTTTCCAAAATTTCCTGACCTTTCTCTACCTCGCACAATAAACGTCAGGACATTAATCTCCTTTTTTCTCCTCCCAAAGCCCAATCACCTCTCTCTCAAAATGCGCCCAGCCCAGCTGCCCGGCTCACCTGTTCATCTTCAAAAAACCAGTGCTTGTCGACATTACTGCGAAGTAGATCCGGCTGTATACAACATCTCAACTCGCCACCTCCTGTGTCCTTACGTCCCCATCGTTTTCCGTCACTGCGTGATGAACCGGAGCGTCGCCGAAACTCGTCCGAATCTGCAGCAGAAAAACATATTGAGTAAATATTCAGGGGATACCCGAGATCTATAGCCTCGCAGCCAGGATGGTCCAGTAAGACCGATAAGTCTTTTTTTTTGTAGATAATCAACACCTAATGCATGTGGAGATAAGTGTGCTAAACTGACAAAAAGATTTTTAGGGTCAAAAAAAAGAAAAGGTCGGCGAAATCAATCCCCGAAGTTGCAAATGAGCAGCCAAGCGTGATGAACAATAAAATAAATATAAACAAGAACTTTAGATACATATAGAGGGGAATATAAGCTAAAAAACTAATTTTTGGCTTTCGTGAGCTTGTGTAAAAATTATTTTAACCTTTGATGAACAGCTAGGGGTACAAGAACTCAAAAGACCCTACCCTAGAGACTGAAACTCACATATGTTTTTCTAATTATCATCTATGAATTCAAAATTTTCGATAAGCACACATTTTCGGCAGAACACGCCGTAAGTTTATAAGCAAACTTTCTTGAATAATAATCAGCACTTACATTTTTTCAGTATAAATCTTAATCACCCCCCCCCCCAACAAAATGAAAGCATGCAGAATGATGAACAACTGCATCAATTCCAATGACGCTTGCCTTCAAGGGACAAATAAATTGCAAATGTGAAAAAATGCAAAGACGTAATGTGCAAATGCGTAAGCAAAGCGGTATTTGTTCCAACGTTGCTGCATGCTTAAGAGGGAGAAAACTGGTAGAAATCATACGATTTTCGAGTTGAGAACTTCGGAGAAGCTATATAATCTTGAATGTGATTGCTATATAATCTTGAATGTGATTGTTTTTGATGCCTGGATGATGCAGAGAAACAAATAGATCAAGTGCTTTGAGAACAGAAAACCTGCAAAATGCTCTAGAATTGGAGAGCGTATGTAGATAATGAAGACATGAATTTTAGGAAGAGATGAGGCAATATTCGAATATGTAAAGAGAATTTAAAGGTTTCTGGGAACGACTCTCACAAATCAAAAAGCACCTAGACATGAAGACAAACACTGATTTGGATAATAAGGATCCAAGGTTTCCATGTGGAAACTATAATTTTTTGAATCCAAATCACCACATTTCCAAAAAAGATGCTTTACTAAAAATAAAGGTGTTGGTAAAACAAACTGCTAGATTGCAAAAAATCAAAAAAAAGCTAAAAGCTACTATAGACATATAGGACACTTGAAAAATCGAGACGATGGCGCGACCGCGCGCGACACGCACGCAACGTGAGCCAACCGCATTTTTTTGGTTTTGTCTATACTTGTGGTTTTTCTGCTTACGTATAATAGCACTGGAAGTGACTGAGCCAAGCGTTGAGGTGGTGTCCCCTTTGCTGAGTTTTTTTGCTCCTGTAGGCGCAAAGTCCGCAGTCAAAACCGTCGTCAGATTTTACAAATGACCTATACCTGAGCTCTCAATCTTTTTTCGTGGTACTGTTCCCCCCCTCCCCCTTCCCACCCTCGCGTGCCTCAAGCATCTCAAAAAAAAGGGCGAAAAATAACAAAGAATTTAATTCCAAAATTCGTCTTTTTATGTAAACTGGCTAGAAAAATCGAAAACCTAGAAATAAACTTTCTTCAGAAAATTTTTTCCTAATTGAAATCCAAATAGGATCCACAGCTGTAGCAGAAATAAACTCCAACGTCATAATGACCGACTTTCTTGACATCATTGCCGTGAAACAAACCCACGACATTTCCATGACTCAAAGGGTCATTTTCCCTATGCAAAACGCTGCAAATGTTGGAAACAGGCTTGTTTTACTACTGTCCGCCATTTTTTGCAGCATTAGTGAGTCGCTCCGAATGCACTTCGCTTTTTTGCCGAGTTTTTCAGTCGGTGCTGTTGTCGCCCGAGTTTTTGCGTTCCCCTCGGAGTATGTTTTTGTGCGAGTGCGTCGGAGAGGAGGCGGACATCGAGCCGAAGGCGGAACGATGATGATGTACAGCGTGAAAAACACGTCGATTTCTGCAGCCAATGTCGCAAGCAATGAAAGAGAGGAAAAAACTTACCTCAAACGTCGAGAATATTATTGGGAAAGACGTCAATTCGATGAGAGTGATACAAAGCCCGCAGGCAAATTTCTTCTCATTTTTTGAGCTGCAGTCTAACCTAGCCATTTATAACTTCAATGCCAAATTTGTAACAGTTTTTTGCACGAGCAAGCGCAAAACAGAAGCGTGCTTCAGAATCCCAAAACAACATACATTGGTTGGAGAACTAAACTGAAGTGCCACCGATCTTGTTTAATTACTTAAGTTTGATTACCCAAATTAGAGATTTTCTCATTCAAAAAGAAAGAAGTGGTTGAATGTAATTGATTATTTATTCTCTATTAATTTCTTCTCTTAATTTCCGATTATATTTGATGACCCTCCCTCACTACTGATAACTTACGGGAAAAATGGTAAATTTTGTCTAATTTCCGTCCAGTGGTAGCAAACTGATGTTCCATCGATCTTGTCTATCAAAAAGCGTAAGGAAAGAAGGAGAAAAAAAAATTTGAATAGTGCTTTAGTAATCCTAGCATCCATGAAAAATTCCCACAAAAATGGAATACCAAACTGAAGCATTTGCTCTAATCAGCCTCAAATTATGCTGAGAAAAGACGCGCACTCTTTCCGCTAGAGGGAATCTTCCAGAATTGTAAAAGGAGAAGGAGGAGGAGCAATAAAAAACCTATGAAATCCATGGCCGTCACAAGCTTCGATTTTTTTATTGATTTTTTCTCATTCATATCCGCATATATGCTCAGCCCCTGCGTCATGTGCTCAATAAATCTTAAACTAACGACTTAACTACTTGATGTATGGTGAAATGGGGTGCTGTCAGTTGCAAGTAAAATGGAATTCTTTGAAAGTCACGGGATATAAAATGCTGCGTCTTCTAACATTTTTGATAGCTGTATATAGCAAGTAGGCACATATAAATGAGAAATGAGGTTGCGAAAAAAAACTAAAAAAGCTGCAACTAGTTACGAAGTGTCGCAGCTTTCTTAGTTACGCTAGCGTTTAGTTAGCTTTCTTAGTTTCTTATTACTTTTACGATGTAGTTCATTCTCGAATGTTGATACAATCTAATAACTAACAAAAAATAATTGGTTGAACGTGCGGCCAATGCACCATTTTTTTGTAATGCATCACACAAAAAAACTTTGTAAACAATTCTAGAAAAACAATGGACTTCCAGAAAAAGTTCCTGATTAGTCAACAGCAGCGCAAATGTCTATGATGTCATTTCAAAAACATAAAAACAGAATAGGAAATTATAATATATGTATGAGTAGATCAATATTTGCAAAAATCTTGATTCTTGCGTAAGTGAATTCATGACTATCGTTCCACAAACTACATAGCAATGACAGGCGTTTATGCAGCATGGTTTCAGAATACGTAAGCAATCACGGTAGGTTATTCTCGTGAATACTAATTGTCAATCTACTGTATGTGATTCACTGTGATACCAGCATATCAATAAACAACATGAAAGTTGCAGAACAGAAGCAATAATTTGAGGATTTGATTACTCATCTACATAAAATGTAGAAGATTTAAGAAATTCGCCTCGACTCTAAGTAAGTTTGATTATACATAGACAAAATGCGCGAGCAAAAGACATGATGAAAGCTGGAACCGCGTCGCAGCCGTGACCGCAGCTTACACATTGTCTGCGCCGGTGAACTGATTGCATCATGCAATGCTCGCTTTCCGTTCCCCAGTGGCAGTAGAATTTGTTTAGTTGTATTGGAATAGTAGGTCTTGGATTCTGAGATCTATTGTGCGCACAGTATTGCACTTATTGATTTACTAATAATAAAAAGCTGAAAGTTCCCTAATTGACATACTAGCAAGTATTCAGGACATGGAATTTGAGAGTAGGAAAATCCTGCTTTTGCATAATAACTCTGTTTTTTCACAAGAAAATCAGCTTCACGACTTTTCAAAAATTGACTAACCCCTTCCAACTCCTACTATTGAACTTCGCAGTTACCAATAGCAAAGTAGTAACAGCGGGCACAAAGTCAGAGATCCACAACGTGTTTTCGAATAGCTGCAGGGGGGGGGGGGGTAACGACGACGACGCGACAGGGCAAAGCCGAAAACAAGCCCATAAGGACAGCGTTCATACGTCTGGCACACTACTGTCTACTACACAACGCTCATGTAGACTTCACTCGTCGAGCACTTTTATAGGGAACGAATGGGGTAAGGGGCTTTAAGTAGTGCTTTGCTGAGCTTTATTTGCTTGAAATGTACACTCAAAATGAAAATATGACACAAGATCCTACAGCTGACTGATATTTTGCCTGACGTTATCGAAATAGCGCATAGTTATTTTGCAGTTGTAAAAAAGTGTCACGACTCTACACTAGTTTCTTGCTAGGATGTCTGGGTTGGAACATGAAAATGAAAAAAATACTCTTTTTATACTTCCTGAAAGGAAAAATTAACTACAACAGAAAAATTTTGGCCAACATATTTTTATTTTCCACAGCCATTGAGCCCAAACTCAAAAAGAACCCGAAAGAGATGTTGAGTACAGATCTTTCCGATTTATGATAGGAAAATCCAAAGGGAGATGTTCGTGAAAACTAAAAACATAGCCTCCGCACTAAAAAAAACGACAACATGAGTATATCAATGATTAAGATTGTAAGACTCGTATAAGCTTTTGAAGCATATAAGAGCTTCAGACAGAGGAGAAAAAACTCAGAGATCTATTGGGACGTTTCCTGCGGGTCAACGATCTTGTATAAAACGTACATAGAGCGAGCAAAAAAAAAAGGCTTTTTCATTTTTAACTTATCGACGTCGAAAAAAGCTGGCTTCAAAATCATGCATAATGTTATATGTACATGAGAAATCAAATCGATTTTTCAAATTCATCGAGCGGAAAAATTAGAAATCAATCTTTTTCCCAAGTAATTTTCATTGATTTTATAGCAGCCTCGGGCCGTATAGATCATCTTTTTCGCGCTATAAGCAGATATATGCACATTATGTCGCCTATATCAGTGAACAAGTTTTTTTAATGGTTTTCCACGACAATATTTCTCCAGACGTCGCTGCATTTGCACGGCCGAGAAAAAAATCACCGTTGTGCAAACGAAATCGTTGCGAATGATGAGAGTGGAGGCAAGAAATGTGCGAGAAGTTTTGGTATGGTTCTTGAAACACTAGGATGCACTTAATCAAAGCCTTTCTAAATCAAAAAAAAAAACTCGAAAAGAATTGTAGGTTTACCTATTTCTATATCAATAGATTGGAATGACAAAATAATCGAAAATAATCAATTTTATCTTTTTCTCAAAGAGCGAAAAAAATTAGTTTGAATTTCGCTTAAAAAAACGACGAGACTGCATTGATTTCTTGATTAATTTTAAAACTTTTCAATTATGGAAGGCTAAACTACATATACTATGAAGGACTTATGGACTTCATGATTTACTAATTTTTTCTCAACCTAATTGAAAACGAAAAAAACAGCCAGACAAAATTGTTTCCTAAGAAAAAAGAGTAAACACAGCAGTACTTTTTCAGTAGATATTAAAAAGCTGCAATTATCTCTAGGGATTTGACTTAGCGCGCACGATTTCTAGAAAACAAAGTGATCCAATGATGTTTACCACACGAACTTTCGATTATATTCACTATTGAAGATAACCTCACATTGTTTCCTAAAAATTTTCCTGTTTCAAAGTACTTCCAAATCCGGCACACGAGATCCCCTTCGATACGAAGTCGACAAGGATATAGTCGAAACATTTCATATGGTGATGTTTGTCGTTGCACATGCCCTTTGTTTAAATTGGTTTGGTGGCTGGAAGGAGGGGCTGCGTAACCTAATCAAGGCTAGATAATGATCAGAGAGAACGCGCGCGAGAGAGACGCAGACTGCATGGCGGGCGCGAGCAGCCTTTAGGCCACAAAGCCCCGCCTTCCAGCCGCCAAGCCAGTTGAATCAGAGGTTACCGTCCACCTTTGGCGTTTCCCTCCAAAATTCTCGAAACAGACAACCTTCAGGTGGGCATTTCGATGTATTCTCAATGTTATCTTTCCTTTTTGGTACTAATCACCTCAAAGCTATGTATGAGCGATAACAGTGTTTCTTGCGTTTTTGTTACTGCAAATCTACGATGAGGACGCCAAAAATAGACGATTGTGTGATGCACACATGTCCATATTTAAAATATTTGATTATACTCCCTGCGCTTTATTTTTACAAGCACAAAATCGCTCTCACAGCGAATGATTCGCTTAACGAAGCCAACGCGAATGCCGAACGCGATGAACGCCTCGTCCGATCACGCACGTCGAAAGTGCATAGCGACAGCCGTAGCACTATCTTTATGACTCGATTGAGAGAGAAAGAACAATGTTCTGTGCCGTTTCTCGAAAATTGAATGGAATAAGGTCAAAGAAAAACTAACTGCAAGGCACCAAAAAAATGCTCGAAGTGCCCTTTCCCTCACTGTTTGCAGGCAATTGCAATATTTGCAGATTTGCTAGGTAAAAAAGAAAAAAGTGGGGGAAAAAGCAAGAAAAGCACAATTTTCCAGAAGAGTTAGTTTCAAAGAAATTTTTACCAAATGCTAGGAGAACTAACCACCAAACCATCAAAACATAGCTAAATGGTTTAGAAAAAGAGGATTTCATACTTTTCCTGCGAACCTAGTCCATTCTCAACTCAACATCTTTTCGCCACGATTTAGCTACAGGTAAACCAACAACAAAAAAGAAACGAAGAAAATACAGAGGATGGCCAAGCCATGGCCCAGATTATGCAATAGACGATCATAGCTGAAAAACTAAAATGCCTCTTCCCCCTCCTCAGCCCTCATGGCGTAAAACAATGGAATGCGATCTCGTCACTGTTTTTTTACCAGTAAATAACCACATGCATGGCAATCAATCAAGTCAGATGAGAGGAGCCTGGTGATAAATTTAATGCAAAGGCAGTAATTTATGTGCATTTGGAAAAAAGCGACCATCCATGCAAAGGCAAATAAATAAATCAGAAAATGGCAAAAAAAGCGGAAGAATGCTTGGAAGAAAAAGCAGCTGTTGAAAGGATATTTGAAGTAGGACGTTAAATTGATGATAAATGTCAAAAAGTAATCCTAAAAGCAGTAAAATCGCAAGAATACCGAGAATTGAGGATGATTAGGATGAGCCAATGGCGGATTGCGCAGGGGACAGAAAGGACGTGGCGCAGACGGTATTTCGAAACAGTCAAAATTTCGATATGTGCAAATTTGGAACAAAAATATGCAAGATTGCCCAAAAACCTGACGAGATTCCGCCGGATGTAAAGCTGAGAGAAATTTCTGGGCAGAAATAGTCAACTGACTAAATCTAACAGTCAGCTCTTTGCGACAAAACCAATCAGTCTTACTGGACCAAGCTGACACGCAAGAAATGAAGAACTAGAGCGCTTTCGCTAGCTCCCCCACTTACCGCAGGACTTTTTTCGATCGCGAAATACCGAATTACAGTCGATCATCGCAGTCGGCCGCAGCGTTTTAGCAGCACATCGAGTAGGGTGCGATGGAAATCGAGAGCAGAGTCGAGTCGACAACAACCAAAGTGGGCGGGACGGCTGCAGCCAGCCAGCCCCAGCCCTACGGGCGGGGCCCGAAAGTACACTTCACGTAGGAGACGTTCCGAATCACGCGCATCTGCAGACGGTTCTGCTGCCGGCACGACATGTGTTCCGCACGGGGAACGGCGCCGAACTGATGCGGATACCGCCGCCATCGGCGCCGCGCCGTTCGCTAGGGATGTAAAGTTTGCCTTTCCCAAACTTACAATTGAAGAAATGTAGCCTTCTAGACCACGGAATGCGATTGGCCTGGGACTGCTTGAATTCTTGGAGGGGAGGGGAGATACAGGGGAAGGAACGAACCGCCATTTTGGGCCGCTTCCATGAGCAAGTGGTCCCTTCGCAAAGCTCTTGCATGTTGTCTGAGGACCCCTATTCCGCGAAGGCCGCCCAAAATGGCGGAGTTCACTCCCCTACACCTATGGGGTGCTTATGGTTATTAGACATGTTAGTGCGAGTAGGTGGGGTTTTGTGGGTTTACGGTAAGTATACGTTACAGGGCGCGAACCCGTTTTGAAACTTCTTTGATTCCGCATGGAGGGGTCATTTATACGCTGGCGTATAATATATTGGGATACGGTAGGTGCACGGTATGGGGTATCACCTCAACCTCACACTGAGGTTTCACCATGCCAAACATTCGTGATCAACATAAAGCTACAGAGATTCGAATAGCGACTCCATACCGTACATCTATCGTGTCCCAAGTTCTTTTTTGCGACTTCAGAGCTAAGAAATGTATCTAGCTGACTCACTGAAAAATCGGGCGCGTTTCCGCTATTCGGATCCAAAATCTCCGAATTTTGCTCAGGTTTTGCCTAAGAGGATTGTTTCAGTGCAGGTCATAAACGCGCTTGATCACACCTATTGCCATAACAAGGGGTGATGGTAAGTACAGTGCAGAAGAAAACGCGGACCTGCCTGACATCTGGTCCAGGCGGGGGGAGGGGTGAGGAAAGAAATTGATGCGCTCATCAAGAAAATGATCCCATTCCTGAGAGCGGCCGTGAACATCTTTGTGAGAACGTGGAGGAGGTAAAGGACAGAACCTCACATGTTTTGCAGAAATTTTGCCTAGGGTTTTGCTACTTATCGCGACTACATAATCGCCGGGGTTAGTGGGACCTGATAGGTGCAGTTACCGTAATCTACAAGGAGATCAATCATACAGAATAAGTGTCATTATAGTCACTATGTTGGATAGCTCTCCTGAATTTCCAGCAGTAACTAATCTTATCACCGTTCACCCATCGTTACTCCTACAAAATGTCTTGCGAGTTGAGTGCAGTATTCATGTGGTAACACCTCTTACGCCCCAAGGCCGAACTTGAGGAGTATTTGTTATTTTAGAAGTTGATGCAAGGCATGATATAAAAAAAGGAGGCGATCAAAGTTTTGGATACCAATCTTGACGCCACAGAATAATCAAATCATGATTATCAATGGAAAGTGCGAAAGTACTGCTTGATAACAATTTCCGAAACCATTCTCCTCTGCCACTTCGTTTGTGACCGGAAAGCAGAAATGAAACTGGTGAAAAACCGTTATGGATTTTGTGCAAGCACTTTCTGCAAACTTTCAGAGCACAAAAAAAAATCCAGACTTCGCTTGACCGTAATGCAGGGTAGCTGCTTTTGGCTCTTGCCAACTGAAACGTTCAAAAAATTTCCAAAACATGTACACATTTCGCATTCATTCGTAGTATTTTTGCGTCGGTTCACTTTCGAAATATCGGAAGTTTGCGTTTCTGTATCCTTCCCGCCTGCTTCCTGGGTTACATCGATAGCTGCACGTACCAGCCATGCCAGTGCCGTTCTAGCATCGTGCCGGAAAGTCGTCAATGAGTAAGCGTTGGGTCCACGCGTCTATTCCAGCAAGCCGCTACTCCGCGCTGTGTGGCCCTAGAAAAAACCCTAAAACGGAGCTGGCGATGGCACAGCTTCGACACATGCTCGATTCACTGGTAGATCCTACCATCCTATACTAGACTTCCTTGTGATTGTGGACATTAGTGAGCTGATTTTGCTATCCTGCAGAAGCGTATTGCTTACTTTTGTTTGGCTATCTGCTCCCCTAAATACCGCAATTAACGATGGAGATAACATGCTGATCACGAAATTGGAAGCATTGGAAAGATATTTTTAGGAGGTGGTATGTGCGCAAAGGTGATTGAAACCACAGATTTGCAAAGAAGAAGATACTAACTATATATGGTCTAGTGAAATTGTTGATCGTTTGCATTGAAGGGCCTTTTTGTGGGATTATTGTAGGTGTACGGTAACCATAGTGTCTCAGTTGACCTTACAATAAATCCTCGTATTAATGATCAGAAGGTCAGGTAACCCCTCCCATTTGCAACGGCTTTGGGTTTCCTACTTCTCTTACTGTAAGCGCAACAAAAGAGGCGAACCGAGAAAAAATCACCGTGTTCTTGATAAGTATATCGAATATTATCACAAGGCAAGTTTGAGCAATATCCACTAAAACTAGCGTTTCTTGATATCTCTTTCGGTTTTATTTCAGTCAAGATAGAAAACTGTAATTCTGTGCCGGCGCAACGAAGCGAGCGACTCTAAACGTGGCCTTACCTTGCTGGAGAAGACAAAAGCTCAGAATAGATAAAAATTCCTGAGTTACTGAATACGAATGTAGAGGAATTGGCAATCGAAGACAATGTGGGGAAGGAGCATAATCCAAGCCCTAAAGGAACAGACGCTTTCCGACTTTGCACTCCTTAATCTGTGAATGGTGAACTCATGAAATGGTAATGTATAGTTGACTTATTCAATTACTATCATTAGCGCTAAAATTATCTCAACAAAGGGCTATTTTGAGAATGCGGAAACAAGCTATGTATAAGCGAACAAGCATCCGTTGAGGTTCGAAATTGGTCACCTTTTACCTAAAAAGAAAATTGATAAAAGAATAATGAAAAGAAAGAACTAACATTCTACAATTAGGGAACATGATTGTGGCGCAGGAAACACCTCAAGTGATTCAATACATATATCGAAGAAAGTGATTTCCAATGGGGGCTTTGCTTTGAAGATCAAGGTAAATTCTTCTGAATAGTGAAGAGTAATAATTTCCAAAAGCAGCTACTGAACCGCAAGCAAAGTTTGCAAACCATCTTTTTTCTCATGGCTATAAGTGCTGCAAAGACATATCATTCATTGTGCAGAACAAAACTCCCTAAGGGCTCACTTCAAATTTCTTGCGACTTCCTATTTCTTTACCAGAAATTACTTTGATTAAGAGGATCTCGACCATGCCGGAGATTTTGGGAGCTGGGAATTTAGATAATGCAATTCCGTAACATAGATCTACCAAGGAACTGCCAAATTATGATAATATGGTATACACTGAATGACAAATCGTATACAATATTGATTCTACTTTGAATGATGAGTTGTACCTCTCCGATAGAACACAAACTATGCAGTAAACATTTATTGACTAGCAAAGAATGGATGATAATCATTGATATAGAAGCTTCGACTTAACTGAACCATTGTCTTCGCAGTCCAGCCAAATACTGCACTTACAAGAAGAGTTGAAAAAAAATTGCCGTTCAAAGATGTACTTCAACGAAAACTACATCTTTAGCTGTAAAAAAACAGCTAAAGCGGTAGCTTCGACTACCATGAAAAGAACGTCTTCATGTCAAATTTACGACTCATCGGTGTGTCGTAAGCCTGAAGTAGTTGTTCAGAAGTCTCTTAGCGGAGGGCTGAGCGTCTGGTTTCAGCTTGCACTTTTTTGACATTATGGTGTCCTCCTAGTACATAACTAGTCTTATCCTCCTGGCACATAGCCTTCATTTCAAATTTATATAATTGAATCAGCTGCCCGCACGCCTATTTGCTCGCTTATAAACGTCAAAATACCAGGAAATCTCATACAATCGTTTTGCTGTAGAATGAGGCTCTGACAAGGGGAGGATACTTGGTCGAAGTGGCGTTTCCATATAAAATGTGAACTATCTTATAGAGCATAAAGCGTTGATTCCAAATCTGCTTTCCATATCTGCAAAGCGCTTCTGCAAAGAGAGTTATGAGAATTTTTTCATGCAGAAATTTGAAAGGGCGGTTGCAATAAAATCACTTAGCCCGCGAGCTCATATGAGCCGTGATTACTACTAGAGGCTTTTATGCAATAGATACCTTCAATCTAATAAACTCATGCCGTCCTTACCCTTTTCAAGCGCCGGAAAGATCTCAACACCTGTTTTTATCTTAGCCAAATCGTTGTATTTTTACCTCCAAAAATTCCAACTCTCTCCCAAAAGCGCTTTGCAGGTAAGGGAAGCAGATTTGGAATCAGCGTTTTATGTCCTATATAATAACATTTCTTATGGAAAAGCCACTTCGGCTAAGTATTCTTCCCTTGTGAGATGTTCTCTCTCTACAATTTAACTATCGTTACTATGAACTATGGAGCAAGCCACGATAAAAGCTTCACTGGCGACGAGGAGGAATTATTGGCGAAGTTTACGCTTATGATAGAGCCATCCCTGGTATGGATTTACCCCATGAATTTGAAAAAAAATATTCGTTGAGAGGAATCAACAACGACGTGACAGATATTTTACGAACCAGCGTGAACATGGACTTAATTACGTACCTTTCAAGGCACTGGAAAGGGATCAAGCTATAAATTAGCTTCAAAGTAAAACCTGGTTCTATGAATTCTTAGTCCGTGCCACACATGTATTTTTTGCTTCAAAGACGTCCTCAAAACCTATAAAAATCATTGGCCACCTTCAGGCACCTTAGTCTATTGTTTCGGTGTGATAATGCAGGAGTTCATGGGTTTGCAAAGGGTGGAGACATTCTGTCACCGGTAGGCTCCATCGTCGCGGACATCCAGCACATTCTTCATGCGTAGGGACGCACGGTTTGTTGCACATGTCCACACGAAAGCACCCCTTTCGTGAACAGACTATTCCCTTTCTAGATATCAAGAGTACACACATTTTCACGAAATGATATGAGGTTGTAAAGAAAGTTCTACCAATTCTTCATAACTGCCGAAAATGTACGCGAATGCAAGAGGCTGGTTTGGGGCATGTTCTTAGTGTGTGATGGCCTCCTAATCAGCTGGA